CAGCCACGGAGCCAGCCTGGGCACAGCCTCCCCGCTGGAGCTGGAGGAGCCGGCTCCCGGGTTCACCTGGAAAATGCGAGAAGCACAAACAGCCAAGGAGGCAGAAAAAGAGGAGGGTTCGAGGCCAGGCGTGTGCTGAGGCCCAGGCGGTGCCCGTGTGGCCTGGCCCCGAGGGAGGAGGGGACAGAACCGGGAGGAGGGGACTGAGCCCAGAGAAGTCCCACCACACACGGGGACTGTGACTTCCGGCCGCCAAGGGGAGAAGGCGCTGCTCATCCGGAGGAGGAACGTTGATGCCTTGGCGGGACCGCAGCCAGAGTCAGAACCGTGAGAACGGCAGGCGGCCTTCACCACGGGATGGAAACGCCCCGCAGGGAAATGTTGGCAAAAGACGCGAGCGAGAGTCAAACCCAGACAAAACCCCAGGGACCCGCCTTCCCTCGCAGGAAGGGAAACGCACATTAAAATGACACTGCAGGCCTGGCTGGTGTGGCTCGCTGGGCAGAGCACCCGCCGCCTACGGACTGAAGGTCCCAGGTTTGATTCCAGCCAAGGGCACAGCCCAGGTTGTGGGCTCCATCCCCATAGGGGGCGTGCAGGAGGCAGCCGATCCATGATTCGCTCTCCTCATTGATGTTTCTATCTCTCTCCCCCTCCCTTCCTCTCTGAAATACACACACACACACAAACACACACACACACACACACACACACACACACACACACACACACATATATATATATATATATATATATATATATATATATATATATATTAAAGATACTTGAAAAGTATTTTTTCCCGGAGGAATACTTGCAAGTCGGTGCCCTTGGGAGCACCAGTCAAGGGCTTAGAACGAAGATGACCCTGGCAGAGCTGTACCTGCAGGTGTCCTTCCCGCCCTCTGCTCGGGGGCACACCACGGTGAGCACAGCGGGCACGGGTGCAGGGAGGTGCGGGGAGCGACGGGCAGCTGCCGGGGCGGCATTGGCACGGAGATGCCACACACAGCTCCCCCCGCCCGGTGCCGAAGAGCGCGGGATCAAGGTCATCGGCTGTCGCGCTGCTGACGGCAGCAGAAGCTGGAGCCACCAGGCGTCCGTCCCCCAGGAGATGGCGAGCTGGCGGGCTGAGAGGCCCAGCTGCCTCCGGTAGGGAAGGGAGTGTCTGTGTGCGGGCGGGAAGGTCTCTAACCTCCTTTTACCGGAAAGAGCGGCGTGCGGAACGCACCCATGAATGCCCCCTCCTCTTGTTGCCAGTCCTCACCCGAGGATCTTTCTCCAATCATTATCAGTATTTTTTCAGAGAGAGAATAGGAGGGAGGAGTAGAGAGAAACATCGATGTGAGCGAGACATGTTGGTTAGTCGTTTCCTGCACATGTCTCTCCCCCCCACCCCCGGCTCCGACCAGGGCAGGGGACCCAGGCTACCGCCAAGGTACATGCCCTTGACTGGAATCGAACCCAGACCCTGCAGTTCACCGGCAGATACTCCATCTACTGAGCCACACGGGCTGGGGCGGCCTGCCACCTTCCAGGGGTGGCAGTGGGGGAGGCGTTTGCTTGTAGTCATAGCAGGAGACCCTGGGAAATGGCCACACAGTGCACAGCCGGGCGACCGAAGACAGGGGCGCCCTGGGCGGGCGCAGGGCAGGGAGCGTTCCCCGTGCGCCTTTCCACGGGAAAGAATAAAGAGAAAGCAGTGCTCAGGGGAAGACAGAGAATGCGCACGGATGGGCTCTGGCCGGTGTGGCTCAGTGGATAGAGCATCGGCCTGTGGACTGAAGGGTCCCAGGCTGATGCTCTAACCACTGAGCAAACAGCTCGGTCTGGGAGGCAACTCTCTCCGCGTTCTGTGAGCTGCTCCGGCCAATTAGTCAAACCCAGGACGGGGTCCCAGACCCCCCCCCCCCTCAGCCAGTCACCTGGTCAGAAGCCCAGTGCCAGCCTGGCTATGCGGCTGGCGTGAGGTTGGAGGGGGTCCTGTCCAGCTGAGCCCCGGCCTGTGGGCTCAGGCACCGTCCCTGGGCGCGTGTCCGAGTGGAGCAGAGCTGGAGGCCACCGGGCGGGTGCAGGATGGCTTGCTGGGTGCATGGACCCCCCCTCCACACACCTGCCTGCATGCACTCACGCCTGCATGCATGCGCACACAGGACTGTATGCACACACACACACACACACACGCACACGCCTGCATGCACACACGAGGGGGAGCTGGGCCGAGCCTGAACCATGAGCCGGGGTGCCTGCCGGAGGCCTGGGAGCAGGTTCCCTTCCACCAGCTTCTGCTCACGATGCAGAAAAGAAAATCCTGTGAGTCCAATCCGGGAGGTGAGTCGGGGCTCCCTCCCAGCCCTGCCCCCCTCCCCCCTCCCCCCACCCTCTCTGGGGGACCATGCGGTGTGGGGGGGCGGGTGTGTCCCCGCTCAGCCTGGCTGGCCTCTGCACTACCTTCTGCCCACAGCCAGCCCCCCGCCCCCCCAGCTGCCCTGCCCTCCAGCCAGCTGCCCGGCTCCTGCAGCCACTGCTCGCTCTGCCTGGCCTGTCCCCTTCGCAGTGGCTGCCACCTCTGTGCCCCCCTGGGTGGGGTGGCTTTGGGACCCCTTCTGCCGACTGCTTTCTCTGTGGGCTCTTTCTGACTGCCCTGCAGGGCCCCAGCCCCGGGAGGGCCAGGTGTGAGTGCCAGGGCCTGTGCCCGCTCAGCCAGGCAGCCTCAGTTTACCAGGCAACCAAGGGGTCCTCCATGGAAGGTGCTTAGAGGCTCCCCTGCCCCAGAGTGGGGCTCCAGCCCTGAGCTGAGTGGGCACAGCTGGGCAGCTGGGATGGGGGCCCGGAAGCCCCTCTCCGAGTCAGCCCCTCCCCTCCAGGGGCCCCTTCCTGCCCTCCTCCCCTCCAGGTTGGTATGACAACAGCCTCCTCCCAGTTCGGACCAACTGGGACTGGGTAGGGCCTCCCTGCAGGACAGTGGCTCCGAGGAGCAGGGGGTGCGGGAGGGAGGGGCCGGCACCACCCCCAGAGGAAGGTCCGCCTTTGGAGTCAGGATCGGGAGGCCTCGGAGGCTGGTCCACGAATCAGGGGCCTCCAGCACCCACGCGCCTGGGGACCTCGGGGGACCCCTGCTCTTGGTGCCAGGCCTGGGCTCGGACACACGTGAGGGGTCTGCCCCCCTGCCCCTCTCTGGCCCCTGCAGGTCCGGCTGGCCAATAGGAAAAGGGGCCCAAACCCAAGCCTCTGAGGACCCACCCACCAAGGCAGCTGGGAGGGTGAGGTGCAGAGGAAGGGGAGGGAGAGGGAGGTGGGGGGGGGGCAGAGGGCAGGAGTGTGACGCTTCTGGAAGGGAGCTCAAGTCCAGGGACCAGGCCCCTCAGCAAGGCCCCGCACCCAGGGCAGGGAGCCACCAAGGCCTCCAGGCGGGACCCAGCGGCCACCTGCCCCCAACGCAACCTGCCTCCCAGGGCACCCAGCCCAGGCTCAGGGCGGGTGGCACAGCCTGGGCGAGGGGCCAGCAGTCTGCAGCCCAGCCGAGCCCACGCCCCCAGGGGTACCCCCGCCCCCCCCCGCCAAGCCCCGCCCCCAGGGGTACCCCCGCCCCCACACACTGCAGAAGCACACACCCCCTCCCGGGGTCATCAGAGGTCTCCACGGTGGGCTTTATTGACACGGTCGCCACAGACAAGGAGGGACGCGGAGGACAGACGCGCAGACAGGCATGTGTGCAGCCAAACCTCCCGCCAGCGGGTGCCCGGCCCCTCCGGGGTGACCCCACAGCAGGTGCCACCCCAGACACGCCTCCCACGCCTCCGCCACACGCCCAGCGTCTTACACATAGATACAAACACAGTGAGGGCAGCAGGGGACCGGGGGCCAGGGCTGACCCTCGGGGCCTTTCCCGCCCAGGAAGCACCTTTCTCCCACGGAACCCGGGAACCGGGCCCCGCCCTTCGCCAGCTGCCTCGCTGCTGGCGGGCTAACACGACCACACACACGCACACACACATGTACACCCCATACATGTGCACCCTCCCCACACACAGGGGAACTGGGTCACGGAGCACGTCACACCCGTGGGCACACACTGGCTTTTCCGCAGGGGAGGGGCTGGGCAGGGCGGTCAGATGCAGGGTCCCCTTCACCCCGTCCCTGGTCCCCGCCCTAGGCGTCAGCAGAGGCCAGCCACACCGGGAGCCATAGGGGGACCACACGGGGTGCCACACGGGCACCGGGCTGGCAGGGGGCGGGCTCTGTCGAGACCGGGAAGACGAATAAATAGGAGGAAGAATAATTTAGAGCTGAGGGGCTGTGGGCTGTGCCCCCCACGTCCACCCCAGCAGCGCGGCCCGCGGCTCGGGAACCGCCCGCAGGACCGGAACCTGGGCTGCAGCCACCACGGCCAGGGTCCCAGCAGCAACAGGTGCACCGCCAGCAGGCGGGCAGCGAGGGAGGGCGGCCTCAGGCAGCCGCAGACACAGCATCGTCTACAGGGGTGGGGTGGGGGCTGGGACCCTGCCCCAGGTGGGCGCAGCCTCGCCACTCTCTGGGCTCTGGAAGTGACCAGCCTCTGGGGGTGAGCAGGTGGCCCAGCGGCGGCCGCCAGGAGGCCAGGCCCTGGACCCTGTTCTCCGGCGGGAAGAGGCACGGCCCGCAGGGGCCTCTCTGGCAGCTTCTGTAACGGGCATCCTTCGCCACGTGGGGCCCGATGCACAAGAGCCCCCTAAGGAGGCCAGGGGGGACCCCAAGGCAGGGCACATGGACTGCCCCACGTGAGGTACCCGGTCCAGTTCGGGTGGGGGGCTTGTTACACCCCCAGACCTGGAAGGAGAGGAGCCAGTGTCGCAGACAGGGTACCAGGTGGGCGCAGGGGGCAGCCTTGGGGCCCTTACACAGCACCCAGCGCTGCCCAGGCCCGCGGCGGCGAGTCCCAGCGGCGGTCACGGCAGGCCCGCGGCGGCTGGAGCAGTCACGGCGGCCCGGTCTCGGCGGCGGTCAGAGCGGCCGGAGCCTCACGGCAGGCCGCCGTGGAACTTGCGCACGTGGCGGTACAGGTCCCCGGACTGCGTGAAGCGGCGCGCGCACGTGCGGCAGGCGTGCGGCTTCTCGCGCGTGTGCACCACGGCGTGGCGGCGCAGGTTGTGCGCGTACTGGAAGCGCTTGCCGCACTGGCCGCACGCGAACGGCTTCTCGCCCGAGTGCGTGCGTTCGTGGCGCCGCAGCGTGTAGGCGCAGGAGAAGGCCTTCCCGCAGAGCGCGCAGGTGGGCGCCGCGCCGGGCGCGGGCCGGGCGTCCCGCTCGCGGAAGTGGGCGCTCAGGTGCCGCTGCAGCGCGTGGGCGCCGGGGAGGGGCTGGCCGCACAGCGGGCAGGTGCCGGGGCGGCCGCCGGGCGCGTCCCCCGCGGCCTCCCGCTCCGGCCCCGGCCCCGGCCCCGGGTCGCCCAGCCCCGCCGGCAGCGGCTCCAGGCCCCCCGCCAGGCGCCGGGCTGCGGGGACGCGGGGGGACTGCAGGGGGCCGGGGGCGCTCAGGGGGCCCACGCTGTCCGGCCCCGACGACGCCTGGGAGTCCTGCTGGCCCCACGCCGGGGGCCCGGCCCCCCGCTGCCTCGGGCCGCAGGGCGGGGCCTGGAGGACCGCAGGGCGGCCGGGCTCCCGCCTCCGGCCGGGCTTCAGCGACAGGTCCAGGGCGCGGTCCGGCTCCCCCGGGGCCTGCCAGGGAGGGGGCCCGCGCGCCCCCGGGGGGAGGGCGGCCCTGAGCGCGGTCCCGGGGAGCCGGGGCTTGGGGGCGGCGGCGCGGAGCTCGGGGGTCCCGGCGGGCAGGGGCCAGGGCGGCGGGCGCGCGGGCTCGGCGGCGGGCGCGGGGGTCCCCGGGGGCGGCGGGGGCGGGGGCGCGCGGGCCTGGCCCCGGAGGCGGCCCCGGCAGGCGCTGACCACGTCGTCCATGTGCAGGTAGCGGGCGGCGGTCAGCACGTCCTCGACGGGCAGCCCGCGCAGGTCCAGGCGGCCCTCGTACATGAAGTCCAGCAGCCGCGCGAAGGCGGGCGCCGTGACGCCGCCGCCCAGCCGCACGTGGCGGCCGCCGGCCGGCCGGTCGCGGAGGCAGAGGCGGAAGTGGGCGCTGCAGGCGGCCAGCACGGCGCGGTGCGCGGGGAAGCGCGCGGCGCCCACCTGCACGGTGCAGTCGCACAGGAAGCCCAGCGCGCGCTGCTGCCTCAGGCGGCCCAGCAGCCGCCCGCCGTGGCCCGGGAACTCCATGCGGCCGCCCGCATCCCCGGGACCGACGGCCGGCCGCCGTGAGCGCCAGGCGGCCCCGGCCCGGCCCCGCGCGCCCGCCTCCCTCCGCGGCCGGCCGCGGGCAGAGGGGCGCGCCCCGCCCCCGGAGCCGCCGGCAGGAAAAACTCCACCGAAAGTCACCAGGAGCCGCTGCCGCGGGGGCGGGCCCGGCGCGGGCGGAGGGGCACAGCCGCGGACCCGCACGCGTCCCCGCCCGGGCGCCCCGCACTTCCCTCCGGGCAGCTGCCGCCGCTCCCCGACGCGGAGTCCGCGCGCCGTCGCCGCCCGGTCCGCGCCTCCAGCTGCCGCCAGATGCCGCCGCCGCCGCCGCCGCCGCGGGCCCCATTTAAGGCGGCGCGGCCGGGGGAGCGGGAGCGGGAGCGGGGGGCGGGCGGGGCGGACGGAGCCGGCGCCCGCCCCCCGCGCTCCCCTCGCCGTCCGGAGCGCCTCCCCGCCCCGCGCCCGCCCGCGCCGCGCGCCCTCCCCGGCGGCCCGGAGCGCGGGGCTGGGGCAGCGCGCGGCGGGGAGGGCGCGGGGCGGGCGGGGCGCCCTCCAACTTGGCCGGCCGGCCCCGCCCGCCCCGGAGAGAGCGAAACTCGGGCGGGGCTGCAGGGGGCGGGCCGCGCGGCTTCCCGGAGCGGAGCCGCTGAGGTCACCTCGCCGCCCCGGCCCTGCGCCCCGCCCGCCCGGCCGGCCCGCGTGCCGCCCGCTGGGCGCTGGGTGGGAGGCGGTGCGGGGTGCGGCGGGGAGGGGTCTCTCGCGATACTTGCCGGCTCCCTCTCGGCGCCCCCCTCCCGCCCGATGGGTCCCCACCGCGCCCGTCTGCTCAGAGACCCCTCGGAGGACCCGCCCTCCCGTGCGCGCTGGGACCTGGCCGCCGCCGCCCCGCGGAGCCGCTGTGGGATGGAGGCGGGGCGCGGAGCGGGTAGTACCTCTGGAAAAGCTGACACCCTGCAGTGGGGAGCCCTGTGTAAATTAAATGAAACGGAACCCTCTGCAAGGCCCAAGCGGGATTGGACCTTGGAGTCCGAACCCGGGCCTCCTGCTCTCGCAGGGACCCAGCTCGCGGCCAGGGGAGCTGTGTGCCCAGGCCTGGGGCAGGGCGCATCCCCGCAGACGGGGAGAGGGGGGGGGGCGGGGAGCCCATGGCCCTGGACCCAGCGCAGGTGGGGAGGTGTCTGAGGACCCCGAGCTCCACGTGCAAGAGCTGGAGGTGTGAAGGGGCACCCAGTTCTGCGCCCAGAGAAACACACGGTCTGGAGGTGACCTCACCCCGGGGCTGGGGAGTGTGTGTGTCCCCCCCCCCCCCCCGGGGCGTGAGCTCAGGGGCTGCCCACAGCTCAGCCTCACCACCTCCTCCCGGGGAGATGCTCAGGGTGTTACACCCCGCCGGGGCAGTAGGTGGAGAGCCCACGGCCACTCGGCAGGCAGCAATAGCTGCACCAGGATTCGGACCGAAGGCTCCTGCTGAACCCCCACCTGCACCTCCGAGAAACAGGGGGGCCCAGATACAGGGGGGCCCAGATACAGGGGGCCCAGATACAGGGGGGCCCAGATACAGGGGGCCCAGGTACAGGGGGGCCCAGGTACAGGGGGGCCCAGGTACAGGGGGGCCCAGGTACAGGGGGCCCAGGTACAGGGGGGGCAGGGAGGTGGGCCAGGAGGTGGGCCAGGAGTGGGGTAGGAAAGAGGCCTGGAGTGGGGCGGGGTGGAGCTGGGGGACCCTCGCTGCCCGGCATGCTGGGCAGAGATCCGGAAGCCGGGAGAGCCGCCTTGAGCCGGGCCGCGGTTGGGGGCCCGGTCAGAGGCCCCGGGACCACTGCTAGGACCACAGTCTGGGGAGGAAAAGCACTTTCTACATGAAAAACATGAGCCCTTGTTCGTCAGAAGCTCACACCTGCCTGGACATCCTTCATTCTCCCCCCTAAACCTGCAGCGTCGGCTTGGCCCCCAGTGGCCCCATCCACATTGGGGAGTCTCCCTGAAGGGGGCCAGCCCACTCCCCCGCCGCCCCCCTGCCCCAGCGCCTGCAGGGGAGCGGAGTTCAAGTCCGTCCGAGCGACCCAGAGGGGCCGCCCCCGGGTCTGGCCCCCCAACCTCTGCGTGACCTTTAGCTTCCCTGACCTCCATGTCCTGGGCAAAACCGCGGGACCGGCGCCTTCCCTGGCCACTCGGGCTCCTCCCCAGAGCCCTCCCGGGGGCCCCCATCCTGCTGTAGCAGTGGGCACCCAGCTCAGCCCCCTGCCCATGCCCAGCTTCCCACCTCCAGAGCTCGGTGTGCGGGGTGTCCACGCGGGGACAGGGCTCCTGGCACCCAGTGGGGCTGCAGTCACACCTGGAGAATGAGTGCGTCCTGGCGCCTCCATCTCCTCTCCGATGCTCTGTGGTGCCCACCTGCCCACCGTGCTCCCCTGGCTTGGTCCTTGGGGCGCTAGGTGGGGCGAGGCCCAGGTGGGCAGAGTGCCTCACCTGGCTGGACAGAGTGCTCCCAGGGCCCCTGGCAGAGGCCGTGGGGCACGGAGGGGCCGTGCAGGCCAGGACACTGCCAGCAGGAGCTGGAGACCAGCCCAGGGGAGGATGGGCTAGAGGAGGGACGCAGGGAGAGGGCCTGGGCCTCTGCAGTCACCAGGTCTGAGCTAAGCCCTCTGGCCTTGAGGGGTTGTCCCCAGCAGCCCTCAGATGGCAGCCGAGCTGCGGGTCCCACGGCCCTCGGAGCCGGCCTGCCCGGCAAGGCCTCTGGCGCGGGGATGACAGGAGGCATCAGTGGTGCGGGCAGTGCTGCCCCGGTGGGTGCCGCGGGCCAGGCGGCCATCTGGCCGGGAGCGGCCCTGGGCCCCGCCCCGCAGCTGCTGCGGAGACCAGGGCCGGTCCAGGCCAGGAGCCCGCGCGGGGGAGGCGGCAGCTGCGGTGACAGGGCCGGCGTCGCCGCTCCCGGGCGAGCAGGCAGTGCTTTTGTTGGGAACATCTGGCCAAGGGACCCCGAGCGGCTGCCGAGTGGCCGGCCGGCGACAGGCTTGGCCGCCCACCTCCTGTCTGGGACAGGAAGGGGGTCCTGGGCGGAGGCCCGGGGGGGGGGCTGGCCCTGTCGCAGGGTGCCCGTCATGGGGCAGGCTCACAGGGGCGCGGACAGGACGGGGCGTGGCCCCCAGTGGGATGTGGGGCTCAGAGGGTCCGGTGAGTGAGCCAGGGCACCTGGGCCGCCTCTGCAGCCTCCTGGCCGCAGGCCCCATGTCTTCCACGAGAGGGCGCCCTCCGGGCCCCCAGGCCACTGCTGCCACCCCTGCCCAGTCTCTTGGCCTCTGCCTCCCCCTGCCCTCTCCAAGCAGGGGGTGAAACCCCTCCGGGGAGAGTGTGGGTGGGAGGGACCGTCCGGGGGTCCCCAAAAGGTCTGCGGGGTGAGGGATGGACAGAGTCGGACGTTTGTGGGATGACCTAGGTCAGGCTTCTCGCTGGGCCCCTGGAGGCAGGGGGCTGCCTGGGGGCACACAGTCCCGCTGGGACAGCCGCATGGATGGGGTGCGGCCAGGGGGCCCGGCGGGACAGCCTGAGGGACCTGGGAGTCCCCTTGCCCAAGAGTGCGTGTCCGCCAGCAGGAGAGACAGCCCCCCCCCCCCAGCGTCCGGCTGTCCGTCCTTCTGTCCGCCCGGAGGCTGGGATTGAGCTTGTTTCCTCTGTGGGAGGGGGGTCGTGGGGGGACTGCCCCTGCCCCTGATGACGTGTCTACACCCCACGCTGAACTCTGACCCTTGAGGAACAAAGGCCCACTCCCCCCGCTCCCCCTCCCCTCCCGGGGAGAGAACGTGGTCAGCCTCGGCAAAGGGCTGCGGCAGGCCTCACCCCTCACCCGGGAGGTCAGAGGCGCGTCTGCGGGAGTGAGGGACCCTCTGCCCGGCCCCTCGGCTGCCCCCTGGCGGCCAGCGGGGCCCAGGGCCGGGGCGGGGGGGGGGCGGCAGGGAGGGTCCCGCGGCCTCAGCCCCGATCGGCTCGGGCTGCGGCGGCCGCACCGCCCGGGGCGCCGGGGCCCAGGCCGTGCCCCGCCAGCCCCTGGCCCCGCCCGGCCCCTTCACAGCGGCCACGTGTCCGGCCTTCCCGGGCCGGCGGTTCCTGGAAGCCCCGGAGGGCCGGGCGGCGGCTAGGCCTCCCGCCTCCCGCCCCGGCCGCGCGGCCTCCGGTCCGCAATGCGGCAGCCGCCTCCGGCCCCCCCTCCCCCGGCGCCGGGCGGTCCCGGGGCCACGGGCCATCGCGGCGCGCCCCTGCCCCGGGGGCTGCCCAGGGGGCGCAGTCCAGTGTCAAACCCAAGCCCCGCACCCCAAGGCCCCGCACCCCCTGCCCCCGCCCCCCGACGCCCCCGCCCCCGCCCCCCGGAGCAAACCGGGAAACTGAGGCCGGAGGGCGTGGCCGGGCGGACGCGGTCACCGTGGCCCCCCCGCCCGGCCCCCGCCCTCCCCCGGCCGGGGGCGGGGGCGCCGGCGGAGGCGGATGTGGGCGGGCGGGCGGGTGGCGCGGGGCGGGGCGCGGACGGACGGGCCCAGCGCAGCAGGCACCGGGGACGCAGCCGCGGCCGCCACGATCCCGCCGCGAGGCCCGCCGACAGCGCCCGCCCCGGCCCGGGCCGCGGGGATGCGGAGCGGCGGGCGCCGGAGGCCGCGGCCCGGCTAGGCCCGCGCCCCGCGGACGCAGCGCCGGTGAGTCCGCCCGGATTTCCTCCCGCGCCGCTTTGTTCGCGGCGGCCGGGCCGAGCAGGAAGTGCGGGCGCCGGCGGTGCGGCCCGCGGTCGGTCCCCCTGACCTTGGAGGCGCGCGGCGCGGGCCCGGCTGGGCGAGGGGCGCGCCGGGCTGGGGCGCCGGGGCCGGAGCCGCCGGGGCCCGGGCGCAGGGCCCCCGGGAGCGGCTGGCCGGCCGCCGTGCGGCGGAGGGGCCTGGAGGGAGACCTCGCCCCCGCGGACCAGGTGTCTGGCCGGGCCGCCCACCGGAGGCGCCCTCCCGGCCCGCCGCCTCCCGGTGCGGTGGCGGGGGCTGGGCTCGGAGGCAGCTGGGGGGGGGGGCAGATGGCCGGCCTGTGCCCTGGGCCGGAGGGCCCCCCCCCCTGGCCGCCCGGCTCAGGCCCCTCGCCCAGCCCGGCTCCTGCCCACCGGCCCAGGGCACAGCCCCAGCCCCGTGTTCGGGGCAGAGGAAGGGCCTTCGGGGACCTTCTTGAAAGTTGTGATTTTATAATAACGGCAGGCGCCTGCGGTCACGGCGAAGGCATGGGCACAGGAGTCCGGCCCGCGTGCTGTGTGCCCAGCACTGCGTGTGTGTCCACAGCCGCACACCCGCGTGCACACAGATGTATTTTTACACACGGGCTCCCGGCAGCTGTCCGGCTCTGTCAGCACAGGCCCTCCTCTGGCGGGTAGGGGGCCCGGAGGCCAGCCCTCTGCCTCCAGGCCACGCCCACAATGTCACCGGAGCCCCGTGCCCAACATGCTGCTGGGGCTCAGCTCTGTGCCCAGGGGCTGGCAGAGCACGGGGGCACATTCTCGGGCACAGGGTGTCTTCTCTGTTGTGGCGTCAGACGGGGGTCTAGCTGCCCATCGGCCTTTAGCCACAGGCAGTGCAAACCCACCTCCCCTGGGTGCCCAGCCCCTGCCACAGGGGGCCAGTGAACCCCGGTGGCTAAAAACCCACATTGGGACCATTCCAGGGTCCTCGGGGGTCTGCCCGGCCTGGGGGTTGTCTATCCAGGGCCTGCCCTCTGGAATCCCTGTCTGGAGGGTTGCAGAGGACTGGGATGCCCGGAATGGGTGATGTGGGCAGGGTTTTGAGGGTGCCTAGGAGTTTGCCCAGCAGGGGAGCAGTGGGGAGGGCCATGCGAGATGAATGGCCAGCGTGTCTGCTCAGAGAGGGCTGCTGGTGGGCCCGGCATGGCGGGCGTCCGTCCGCCCTGCGTTCACACAGCCCCCCGTTTGTCGCCGCCTGGACCCTGTAATTACGAGTCTGCAGCCACCCTGGACGGGGTTCCCCACAGACAGGCCCTGTCTGAGCCTCTTTGTCGCCGGCGCCCAGGCCGGACCCGGCTAAACCAGAGGTGCCGGCCCACAGGCCGCTGAATGACGGAGATTCAGGCTGTGGGGGCTGTGGTTGAGGAGGGCCCGGGGTTTCCGGAGGGCTCACAGCACCACCCCAGAGGGCACCCATCCTCAGTGGGGGGCAGGGAGGGGCTCTGTGCCCTGTCCCTGGGGCCACACCAGGGATAGGGGGGCAGGCATCCTCACCGGGGGGTCGGAGGTCAAGTGCCCTGGGCTGATGCAGCCGGTGGGGGGCTGCCTGGAGGAGGTGGCGTTTGCCGGGTCGGCAGGCTCGGGAGGGCCTTGGGGATGTGAGTGGTTCGCACAGAGATGGGGTGGGGGAGTGGGCCTGGGCAGGGAGGGGCCCAGGGAGCTTCCAAGGGCTGGGGTCCGGGAGGGCGGGAGGCCTGGGCCCAGTGAGAAGGTGGCGGGGGTGGGCGTGAGGGGCAGAGACTGCGGGCAGCAGGGGCTCCGAGGGCCTGGCCGGGGCAGGCTGCGGGGAGGTGGGCCCAGGCCTGGAGCCCGGGTCCGAGGAGGGCCCAGGGCGGACAGGGCCTCACCGTCCCCTCCTCCCCAGAGGCTGTGGCAGTGCTGGCTCGGGGAGCCTGCGGCGAGTGGAGCGTGAGCGCCCGCGGGCACCATGACCGACGTGGCCATCGTGAAGGAGGGCTGGCTGCACAAGCGAGGTGAGGGCCGGGCCGGGCCGGGCTGGGGCGGGCGGCCGGGCGGCTGGGCGGCCGGGGGGCGTCCCGGGCACAGGCTCCGTGGGTTCAGGCCTGTGGACCCCGGTGGGGAGGGGAGCCGGCTGGCGTGCGGCCGCGGTGTGACCGCCTGGCGGGCCCTGTTGGCAGGACGGCCGTGCCGCCTCCCGCCCTGCTTTCCTGGAAGGCGGCGGGGACGCTGGGGCTGGTCCAGGCCTGGCACGGTGGCCCGGGGCACTGCCGAGGGCTCCTGAGGGCAGGGCAGGGTGGCCTGGCCTGGCGCGGTGCCCACCTGGGGCCTGGGCTGGGCATGGCTGTGAGAGAGCTTGGGCACAGGGGCCAGGCGGGCGTGTTTGGGCTGCAGCCCGGTGCCCGCCCCGCCTCCCTCCGCACTCCCTGGCCCCGTGCCCCAGGCAGGATGGGAGCTGAGGGCCCCAGCCCTCACCCTCCAGCCCTGCCCCTGCCCATGCCCACACCCACGCCCCCGCCCCCGCCCCCACCCACGGCCTCTGCTGCTCAGGGCCAGGCCGTGTGTGTGTGTGTGTGTGTGTGTGTGTGTGTGTGTGTGTGAGAGAGAGAGAGAGAGAGAGAGAGAGAGACAGGCCTGCCACCCCGTGCCCTCCTTCGCTCTCACCCCTCCCAAATCCTGGTGGCCCCAGGCCCCACCCCGCCCCCTCTCATGCCAGCTCTCCCCCAGATGGGGCGAGGGGTCCCTCTCCCCACCCCAGGTCCCGCTGGCTGTTGGGGGGCGGAACCTTGGATTCTGATGGGAGAGAAGGCCCAGGCTCAGGGCCCGGGCGGGGCAAAAGTGTGTGTTGTGGAGGGGTTTTGTGGGGTGCATAGGCGCTCCCCAGCGTGTCAGGGAGGCTGCACACTAGGTGGAGGCAGAGGGTGGCAGTGTGAGCGGGCTGCGGAGCCTGGCATGGGGCTGTGGTCAGCGTCAGTGCTCCCGGGCAGCTGTGGGGGCACAGTCCTCGCTGGGCCTTGAGGCGACAGCGAGAAGGCAGAGGGGCCTGTGGTCTGGGGAGACCTCCGCCTGGCTCCCCCCAAGGCCCCTGCCTCCTGGGCCCCTCCCCCAAGGCCCACCGCTCCTGTTCCCGGGTCCCACTCCCTGTGGGGAGCCCCCTGCGGTCCTGCCACGCCCCCGCCCTCCCCTCCTGGGACCTCGCCTCTCGACCCGCACACGTTTGTTGAGTGAATGTTAGACCAGGAGCCGGCCAGCCCCGCAGGCCGGTGTGTCCCTCAGGGTGACGGTGTGTCCCTCAGGGTGACGGTGTGTCCCTCAGGTGACGCCTTCTGAAGGGCCCGGCCGGAATCAGCCCGAGGGGCTCCGATCGGCGCTGCCCTGTGTCCCTCTCCAACGCCGGTCCCTGGGGCTCCGAGGGCCTTTGTTTCCCCCCCTGTGTGATGGGAGGGCGGCAGGGGGGCCTGGAGTAGGGCATGTGTGGGGGCCTGACCCGGGTGCAGCCAGGGTGGGGGAGCGGGCGGGCCTGCCGAGCCCGGGCCCGGCCACGCTTCCTTGTCTGCCCCGCGGCTCACGAAGGGCCTGCTTCCCTGCCCCCCCCACCCCAAGCCTCCCAGGCTTCCTCCTCCAGCCCCTGGCTGACCCTCCGCCCCCGGAGGCCTCTCGGGTGGGGGTGGGGAAGCTCTGGGTGGAGTGGGTGCCGGACCTCTGGGCTGGGAGGGGTCCCGGGTCTGGCCCTGGGGGAGGTTCAGAGTAGGGGAGGGGGTGTGGCCCACTGTCCTCAGGCCTGGCCCTGCCCCCTCCCCTGGAGGTTAGGGAGCTGCTGTGGGCGTGGCCAGCACCTGTCGCTCTGCGTCCTGCCAGGGCTGGCACACACACACACACATGCACACAGTACATGCACACACACACACACGCACACGCACACGGTACATCACACGGCCCCTCCAGACCCGGGGAAGTGGCCCCGCTGAGGGGCAGGGGGCTGGCGGTGTGGGCAGACCCTGGGCCTGGCTCCCCCACCCGTGGGGAGGTGGGCGGTGGGTGCCCTCTGTGGGGAGTGACCTGAGCTGTGTTCAGGGTCTGGATGCGGCTTTGGCCAGAGCAGCTGTGGGCAGAGCCCTCTCTGGGCCTGCACGGACCGTGGGGTCCAGGCGCACCTCGGCCTCCTGTCGGGGCGTCCCGCGGGGAGTGGGGAGCGGGGAGCTGGTCCCAGAAAGAGCTCCCTCTGCTGGAGGCTCGGCTGCGGTGGGGCAGGTGGGCAGGCGCCCTTGCGGGGAGGGACCTCCTGAGCCCCGAGGGGGGTACCAGGGACGGGCGGACGTCCTGAGCGTGAGCTGGATATCCTGCGTGGCCGTGGCCCCCGGGGTCGGTGGGTGCTGTCGCCCTACTGCGCACCGAGGCCGTGGTCTGCCTGTGCGCCCCTGGCTTCGGGAGGCTGAGGTCGCCCTCGTCAGGGGGGGCCTCGGCCTGGTCCGCGGGGGGTTCCGGGCGCGCCCTGAGGCCGCCTCCTGCCCATTGTCCCCGCCGCCCCCCAAGTCCCACCTCAGAGCCCATGTGTGTGCCCACCAGGGACCGGCCACCCAGACCAGGGCGCCAGGAAAGGGCAGGGGGGGCGGGCAGCAAGACGGGAACCCAGGGCCGCGCTGGAGAGGACAGGCCTGGGGACACTGGGGCTGGTGCAGGCCGGCGGCTGGCCCCTGGCCCCGGGAGGAGCGGGCGGGGTGACCTCACCGGGCCGGGTGGCGGGCAGCCAGGGGAGCCCGTGGGCGGAGGTCCCTGTGGGAAGGGGTCTCCGTGGGCTGCCCGGTGCCTCCGTGTGCCGTCCCCCGGAGGGCCTGCTGCTGGGGCTCCGGGTCGGACCCCTGGTGGGTCTGTCCTCCTGGGGCCTCGCCCTGAGCCCGTTCCTGGCCCTGCCTTCCCAGCTCCCGCCAGAGGAGGGCGCCCTGGCCTCCTGCGCGGGTCCGGCACCCGGGGCAGTGCCTCCCGGGCTCCCCCGCCCCCTCCCCTTTCCCCAGGCGTGGCCGGGCTGCGCCCCTCGTGTGGGAGATAGAGGCTCGGTGTTGCTCACAGCCCCGCTCGGTCGGGGGCCTGGGGGCCTGGGGCGAGGGGTGAAGAGCAGCCAGGCCCTGTGGAGCGGCAGCCGTCACGGTGGGGCCAGGCCGGGGGGCCGTGCACCCCACTCTAAGCGCCAGCTGCCTGGAGGCCCCGTGGGGCTGGCATGGTGGCACGGTGCTGCCTTGACCTCCGTGGGGCTCCTCGGGCCACGGGAAGCCTGCTGACCCCCGGCCGTCAGGGTCAGGCAGCCCGGTCCCGCCTGGGCCCCGTAGTGCCTGGGTTCACGGGCAGCTTGTGCAACGCCAACGTCCGAGGGTCCAGCACTGGCCCTCGGGCAGGTCCGAGCAGATGGTCAGGCCCCTGTCCTTGGAGCAGGTGGGGGCTTGGCTCCAAGGACCTGGCTGTGGCCGTGGCCGTGGCCGGCCTGCGTGAGGCTGAGTTTCCTGTTTTGTGAGTGTGTTGTTGAGTTCTCCCTTCAAAACAGCAAAAGAGGAAGCTGGGCCCTGGCCGGTGCGGCTCAGTGGGTAGGGCATCGGCCTGTGGATCGAAGGGTCCCAGGTTCGATGCCGGTCGGGGCACAGGCCCGGGTTGCGGGCTCCATCCCCAGTGGGGGGCGTGCAGGAGGCAGCCGATGCACGATTCTCTCTCATCACTGATGTCTCTCTTTCCCTTTCTGAACTGAAACAGCAGCAGCAGCAGCAGCAGCAGCAGCAGCAGATACAGATATGAGAAGAGAGGAAGCACGGGCCTCACAGGGGGTGGGGGTGGGGGTGAGGGGCACTGCCTCCTGGCCCGTCCCAGGTGGCCCCTTGTGGCCTGTGCCCGGCCTCCTTCCTGGGTGCTGGGCGCTGTCAGCCCAGTGCCCTGCGCGGGGCCAGACTCGATGGGCACAGGAGGGCGGGCCCAAGACCCAGGACAGCCTCTGCCACCACCCGCCGCCTCGGACAGAGGGAGACTGAGGCCTGGCCGAGAAGAGGCGGGCGGTCCTGGCAGCGGGCACTCAGGGCCCGGGTTGCATCAGGCTGGTTCCTGGAAGTGCCGTGGCAAGGGAGGGCGCTGATCAGTCTCGCCAGCGGCCCCTCTGCTGGGCACACCCAGTGGGTGCCAGCCCGCACCTCCTGGGAGCCTGTCTGTGATCGGAGCCACTGCCGCTGAGCTGCCCACTCCCGGTCACCTCACAGCAGGCACATGCTGTCTCTTCCACGCCCGTGCTGTGCCCGCCGGCCCTGCCCAGCAGCCCACCAGCAGGGCCCCGGACAGGCTGGCAGGGGCTGGGGCTGCAGGCTGGTATGGCCCTCACTCCCGCCCTTGGACTCAGCGCCCGGACGCGGGGAAGAGGGGCTCAGAGCGGGGGGCGGGCTGGGGCTATGGGGGGAGCCCTCCGCTGGGGAGGGGCCGGGGCAAGGGCATGCGGCCAGCCTGGGTTTGGGGGCTGAGGGGTGGCAAGGGTGAGTGTGGCCAGGGACTTGGGGGTTGCGGCTGGAGATTGGGGCCCACGGCCGGCCACCATGTCGCCAGGGGAGAGATGGCGGGGAGAGAGCTCCCCGCAGGGGTGTGGCTGAGTTAGAGCAGAATCACTAGGACGCAGGCCCTGCGAGATGGGTCCCTCCTGGAAGACAGGGCCCCCCTGGCCTGGCCCCCCACCCCCCACGCAGGGGCTGTTCCTGTGGGTGCTGGGGATGGAGGTCCCACTGAGACAGGCTGGGGCGCTAGGTGCAGGGGTGTGGCTCTGCCTCTGAGGGTCTGCAGGGCGGGCGGGGTGTGGCTGGCCCCATGGGGACTCGCACTGTCCCTGTCCTGCAGCTCATGGCAGCCAGGCCTTGGGGGCGGGCGGGGCACCTGCTGTCCATCCCGGGCGGCTCGGCCCCACCTGGGCCTGGGAGCCGCCCTGGAAGGGACCAGGAGCCACACGGGGGCATTTTCCCTCTCGGCCGAGAGGCTGCCACCCCGTCCTCTCCTCCCCTCCCCCCGTCCCTGCTCTGGGGCAGTGGCCCGCGCCCCGCGGGGGGACGGGGACGGGGACCGGGAGCCGCCTGGGCCCCGGCAGGGGGGCCCCTGGAGGTGACCCCGTGGCGGGCGGCGATGGATGGGCGGCTGTCAGGCGGCCGCGTGCTCGCTGCGCCGGGGAAGGTAAATGGGCGCCCGGCAGCTGGCGGCGGTGGCTGTGCGGGCGGCGGGGGACCGCGGTCGCCGCTGTCAGCTGGCGGCGCTCCCCGGGCCTGCTGGGCGCACTTGGCTGTGGAGAGGCAGCCGGCCGCCTGGCGCCCCGCCAGGCCCGCGCGCACAGCACTGCGGCAGAGCGTGGGCGCGGCTCCCGGCCCGGCTCCCGGCACTGCGCAGCCCGCGCCTCCGCCATGCCCGAGCCGCTCCCGCCGCCCCGCCGCCCGCCTGACCCCGGCGCCCACCTGACCCCGGCGCCCACCTGACCCCGCCACCCACCTGACCCCGGCGCCCACCTGACCCCGCCGTCCACCTGACCCCGGCGCCCACCTGACCCCGGCCGCCCACCTGACCCCGCCGTCCACCTGACCCCGCCGCCCACCTGACCCCGCCGCCCACCTGACCCCGCCGTCCACCTGACCCCGCCGTCCACCTGACCCCGCCGCCCACCTGACCCCGCCGCCCACCTGACCCCGCCGCCCACCTGACCCCCGCCGCCCACCTGACCCCGCCGCCCACCTGACCCGGGCGCCCACCTGACCCCGGCGCCCACCTGACCCCAGGCGCCCAGGATGCCCCCCCCCCGCCCCAGCCCTGCGTGTGGCCATAGGTGATGGCTGTGGCAGGTCAGGGCCATTGGCAAGGACTCTGTCCCTCAGAAGTCCTGCAGCCCCGGGCATTGTGGGACCGAGCTGGCTCCCAGGTGGTGGGAGGGACCCCTGGTGGGGTCCCCAAGAGCTGAGAGCTGCGGGGCCATGGGCAGGAGGACAGCCTGGTCCCACCCAGCACGGGCCTGGCCAAGCCTCCCCACTCGCCAGGCAGCTGCCTCCTGGGCCCGGAGCCCTCTCTGCGGGGGGCTGGGTGGGGTAGGTTGGGGCACAGTCTCCCCTGGTGGCTGGGCAGGACCCAGTCTCCGCTGTGCTGCCCTCCCGCCCGCCCAGGGCTGGGCTTCTAAGAGAGTCCGGGGGGCGGGCAGGGGCAGGGGGGGCTGCGCAGTGCCCCATCCTGCCCACCTGCCACAGCGCCGTCCAGGGCAGCCGTGGCTCCGGTTGGCCTGGCGGTCAGCTGGGAGCTGAGCCGGGGGCCCCTGGCCCCGTGGTGGTCCCGGGGCTGTGCCCAGGCGGTGTGGGCCACAGAGCGTGGACGTGTGTGCACGGCGGGCGGGGGCCGCCTGTGCAGGGCTGGGCGCTGGGTGTGGGCGTCAGGGCTGCGGGGATGGCCTCACTGCCCACCGCGTGCCCGGAGGTCAGCCTACCCGTGGGCCGGCGTGCGAGGACCCCGCTTGGGGAGCTGCGTCCTGTTTGCTGCCTGCCCGTGTCTGTGCTGGAGTGGGGTTCCGGCACCCTGATGTGTCTGCTCCACCCCCCCCCCCCCCCGCCAGGGCCTCGGACAGGAGCAGGCCCACAGGTATCCTGTGGCCGAGAGGACAGCAGTGGCCGGCAGAGTGGCCGCCTCCTGCACCGCCCGCTCTGTCTGGGCGGCTGCCTGCCTGCCGTCCAGTCTGCACTGAGCTCGTTCACCCTCAGCCACGCCCGGGGGCCGCCACCCGGACTCCGGGCGGAGAAGGGCTGTGAGCCTCGCCCTTGGCCTGGCCTCCGAGGCCCCGGCTCCCACCTGGAGGGGTCTGGGCTGCACAGGAGCCCCACGGGTGGCGCCTGGCTTTGAGCTCAGCCAGGTGGGCAGTGGGTGGGGCTGGCTGAGGGCCCGTCCCCTGGACCCCTCCCCATGGCTCAGCCGGGTGGGGTGTGTCTACTGTGGGGCTCCCAGCTCTGGGTTCCAGAACCTTCCCGGCCCTGGAGGTGGCTGGAGGGCAGGTGCACGGCCATGTGGTTGGGTGGGCCCTGGGTGCCGGCCCAGGGAGTCCCGCTGGGGAAACCGAGGCCAGCCCGCCGTGCGGGCTGCAAGCACGGGGCACGTGTCCCTGCCTGTGTGGTGGCGCCGGCGCGGTGGGGGCCGCGCAGTTGGTGCCTCAAGATGGATTCCCGGCTGCGCGGCGCGGGCTCATCACTCTCCCCGCGCAGCCGGCGTCCCGCGCAGCCAGCGTCCCGGGGAGCGGCAGCTGGCAGCGGGCGAGGCTCTCCATCAGGGGCCGACAGCTCCAGACGGGCGCGGGCGGGTGGGCGCGGCGGGGGCCGCACGCGGGGCGGGGCGCACCCCGCGCCGCTCTGCTCGCTGTCCACCGCCCGGGGGGGGGGGGGGGGCGCCGGCTCTGCTCGCTGTCCACGCGGGCGCCGTGTGAGAAGCTGCTGAGTGCCGCGGGGGCGGGCGGGGGGCCGGGGAGGGTGGGCGGGGGGCTGCGGGGGGGTGGGCGGGGGCGGGCGGGGGGCCGCGGGGGTGGGCGGAGGCCACTGGGTGTCCGGGGTGGTGGGGACCCTCCTGGAGCCAGGCCACAGCCTGCGGTGGGCCCCCGGGGAAAGGCCAGGGGTGGCTGCGCCCCCTCTTCCCAGCAGCCCCGGGTCCGGAGGCGAGAGGCCTGTAGGCCACGCCCGGGCCCCTGGTGACCGCCCGCCGGGACCCCCACCGGACTGGGCGGCGGGGGGGCGGGCCGGGGTGGTGTCTGGCGAGCTTTGCTTTGTGCGGGGCTCGCTGGGCCCGGCTCGGGGACCCCCTCCCCGCGGAGGTGTGGGCGGCGGCCTCATTAGGAGGCGTCGCCGGCCCAAAGCCCTTGCTCTGCAGAATGGAAATGAGCCGTGTGCTCGGTGTCAGCATGAAAAATGACGGTCGCCGCGCGGCGCTGAGGACAGCTGCTCGGCCGCGGAGGCCTGGGCGCGGACTCGCCGAGCTGGGGGAGCCCCGTGCTCCCGGCGACAGGCACTGGTCTCGCCTCTGGGCCCCGGTGCTGATGGGTCACATGCTGCCGCCGCCGTCTCCCTCCACGTGGGCTGCCCCTCCCCAGGAGGCCGGCTCCGTCCCCTCCCCGGGAGGCCGGCTCCGTCCCTGTCCCCTCCGCGGGGTCAGCCCGTCCCCTCCGCGGGGTCAGCCCGTCCCCTCCGCGGGGTCAGCCCGTCCCCTCCGCGGGGTCAGCCCGTCCCCTCTGCGGGGTCAGCCTGTGCTGCAGTAACTGTTTCAGCCACAAATGGCCGGACCCGGGTTGGGGGAGCTCTTGGCCCTGCAGCCCAGTGGGTGGCTGCCACCTCCTCCAGGAAGGCCCTCTAGGTTGGACCAGCTTCCCACAGTCGCGCCCTCTCCCTGGGTTCAGTGCCCACCGTGCCCTTCCCGCCGCTCCTGTGGGAACTGGGGTCCGTGCTCTCGTGCCGGGGGTCCTGGGGGAACTGGGGGCTGCGGGCTCTTGCCCCGGGGATCCTGGGGGCTGTCCGTTCACACACCGGGGGTCCTGTGGGAACTGGGGTCCGTGCTCTCGCGCCGGGGGTCCTGGGGTCCGTGCTCTCGCCCCGGGGATCCTGGGGGCTGCGGGCTCTCGCGCCGGGGGTCCTGGGGTCCGTGCTCTCGCCCCGGGGATCCTGGGGGCTGCGGGCTCTCGCGCCGGGGGTCCTGGGGTCCGTGCTCTCGCCCCGGGGATCCTGGGGGCTGCGGGCTCTCGCCCTGGGGGTCCTGGGGGCTGCGGGCTCTCGCCCCGGGGATCCTGGGGGCTGTCCGTTCACACACCGGGGGTCCTGTGGGAACTGGGGGCTGCGGGCTCTCGCCCCGGGGATCCTGGGGGCTGCGGGCTCTCGCCCCGGGGATCCTGGGGGCTGTCCGTTCACACACCGGGGGTCCTGTGGGAACTGGGGTCCGTGCTCTCGCGCCGGGGGTCCTGGGGGCGGCGGGCCGGAGGCGCAGCTCACGCCTGTCTCCCAGGGGAGTACATCAAGACCTGGCGGCCCCGCTACTTCCTGCTCAAGAACGACGGCACCTTCATCGGCTACAAGGAGCGGCCGCAGGACCTGGAGCAGCGCGAGTCGCCCCTCAACAACTTCTCCGTGGCGCGTGAGTGACGGCGCGGCCGGGACCCGGGGCCCACTGAGTGTGTGTGTGTGTGTGTGACCCCGGGACCCGGGGCCCGCTGAGTGTGACCCCGGGACCTGCTGTGTGTGTGACCCGGGGCCCGCTGAGTGTGACCCCGGGACCCGCTGAGTGTGACCCCGGGACCCGCTGAGTGTGACCCCGGGACCCGCTGAGTGTGTGACCCCGGGACCCGCTGAGTGTGTGACCCCGGGACCCGCTGTGTGTGTGACCCCGGGACCCGCTGAGTGTGTGACCCCGGGACCCGCTGAGTGTGACCCCGGGACCCGCTGTGTGTGTGTGTGTGTGACCCCGGGACCCGGGGCCCGCTGTGTGTGTGACCCCGGGACCCGGGGCCCGCTGAGTGTGACCCCGGGACCTGCTGTGTGTGTGACCCGGGGCCCGCTGAGTGTGACCCCGGGACCCGCTGTGTGTGACCCCGGGACCCGCTGTGTGTGTGACCCCGGGACCCAGGACCCGCTGTGTGTGTGACCCCGGGACCCGCTGTGTGTGTGACCCGGGACCCAGGACCCGCTGTGTGTGTGACCCCGGGACCCGCTCTGTCTGTGACCCCGGGACCCGCTGTGTGTGTGACCCCGGGACCCGCTGAGTGTGACCCCGGGACCCGCTGTGTCTGTGACCCCGGGACCCGGCTCTGTCCTGGCTCAGCCGCCCGGGAGCAGGGGGCAGCGCTGGCCCCACATCCCCTCGGGGACCTGCCAGGTGTCATTTCTGGCCAGTGGGTGTCTGTGCCCGTGACCCTGAGCGCCCGGCTCGCCACTCTGCGGGTCGAAGGCCTGGCTGGTCGGGCAGATGCTGGTGTGGAGCAGCCAGCAGGAGCCGGGGGAGCCCAGCAGGGTGGGGGGCAGGGCGAGTGCATGAGCCTGTCACCCCAGGGAGAGCCTGTGGCTGCCCCCCAGCCCACCTCTAAGGCTGCCACAGCCCTGGGCCCGGGTGCTGCACGTGCCTCTGTCCAGCTCTGGTGGGGAGAGGGGTACGGCTGAGCCCGGGCAAGCTGGCCTCCTTCCACCGGGAGGGCGGGTGGAGGGCGGGTGGAGGACGGGGGTATGACGGGCCGTGGGGTGCAGACAGGCTGGACGGGGGTATGACGGGCCGTGGGATGCACACAGCCTCCTGGAGCTCACGCAGGCCACACACCCCTGCACCCAGCACAGCTGGAGAGCGCACACCTGGAGCTGGGACCCCCACAGTAGGCACTGCACCCCGAACCCTAGCCGGCAGCCAGAGACGTGTGTGGGGCTCAGTCAATGAGCCCATCACCCACCCACCCACCTGACTGTTGGGGGCCAGCCTCTGGGCAGAGCACAGGGAAGGGATCCGGGCTAGAAGCCACCTGACTCAGCCTCCTCCACCCCCACCTCCGCTTCCCAGCCCCCCGGTGGAGTGAGGCCTGCCTGCCCAGCTTTGTGAGCTTTCCCGCCGCCTCTGCCCTGGCGCTGGCCGTGGGGGGGCGGGGGGAGACAGGCGGGCAGGCTGGCAGCTCACATTCCCACCCTGCAGCCCTCCGGGGCGCCCAGACCCTCTGCCTGCGGCCGTCAGGGCGTGGCCTGGCGGGCAGCTCCGGGGCCTGAGGCACCCAGCAGGCTTGGGCAGAGCTTCCCAGGACCCGGGGGAGGGGTCCGGCTCACCTGCCGCCCCCGCCCCCAGAGTGCCAGCTGATGAAGACCGAGCGTCCCCGGCCCAACACCTTCGTCATCCGGTGCCTGCAGTGGACCACGGTCATCGAGCGCACCTTCCACGTGGAGACCCCCGAGGAGCGGTGCGGGGCCGGGGGGGGGGGGGGGCCGGGGGGGAGGGGGAGGGGGGAGGGGGCCAGGGAGGAGGGGCGAGCGCACCTTCCACGTGGAGACCCCCGAGGAGCGGTGCGGGGGGGGGGGGCGAGGAGGGGGGTGCTGGCCCCTTGTTCCCTGTGCTCCCGGGGGGGGGGGTGCAGTCCTGCCGGGCTGGAGCCAGACCTCAGGGCCAGCTGCCTCCTGGGGTCGCGGGGCCGGGGCCGGGGCGGGCGAGGCCCGCTGGGCCAGGGAGACCGTCCTGACCGCCCGCAGGGAGGAGTGGACGACGGCCATCCAGACCGTGGCTGACGGCCTCAAGAGGCAGGAGGAGGAGATGATGGACTTCCGGTCGGGCTCGCCCAGCGACAACTCGGGGGCCGAGGAGATGGAGGTGTCCCTGGCCAAGCCCAAGCACCGCGTGGTGAGCGCCCCCCGCAGCCGGTGCCCTGGGGCCCCTCCTGTGCACACGGCCTTCTGACCCCCAACGCCGGGCCGGGCCGCCCCCTCCGCAGCCGGTGCCCTGGGCCTCTCCTGTGCACACGGCCGCCTGACCCCCAACGCCGGGCCGGGCCGCCCCTCCGCAGCCGGTGCCCTGGGCCTCTCCTGTGCACACGGCCGCCTGACCCCCAACGCCGGGCCAGCGGGCAGGGACGCTGGGGTTCCAGAAGGCCTGGGCGCTGTCACTCCCCCCCCCCCCCCCCCAGTGCTCGGAGTTGGGGTGTAGCCGGGGTCGGCCGAGCGGCCGGGCTGTCCCTGTGCCCTGACACGCCCCCCGTCCCCCCACAGACCATGAACGAGTTTGAGTACCTGAAGCTGCTGGGCAAGGGCACCTTCGGGAAGGTGATCCTGGTGAAGGAGAAGGCCACCGGCCGCTACTACGCCATGAAGATCCTCAAGAAGGAGGTCATCGTGGCCAAGGTGGTGCTGCCGGGAGGGCGGGGGCCAGGGGGGTGGGGGCATCGTGGCCAAGGTGGTGCTGCCGGGCGGGTGGCGGGGTGGGCAGGGGGGCGGCGGGCGGCGGCACTCACGGGCCGTCTTCCAGGACGAGGTGGCGCACACGCTCACGGAGAACCGCGTCCTGCAGAACTCGCGGCACCCCTTCCTGACGGTGAGCCCCCCGGCCGCCGGGCCCAGGGCAGAGCGTGGCCCCTGTGCCCGGGCTGAGGACTGGCGGCCCGGCCTCCTGGCTGCCGCGTGGGCAGCGGCGGGCAGGCCTCCGGGTCGCGGGAGCTCCCTGGCGCTGTGCTCGCCGTCCCGTGTGAGAAGGGCAGGTGGCTGGGGCCCCCTTTGCTCTGCCCGGGGGGTCCTGCCAGGGCCCCTGTGCTGGGCGCTGGCCCAGGGGGCGTTAGGGAGAATCCTTAGTCTTTGGCACAAGGAATCCCAGCTCAGCCGGCTCCTGGGGCAGGGGCAGCCCCTCTCCTGTGTGCACAGCCGGGGCCTGGCTCCTCACCCGGCCCCGCCCTGGCCCTCACTCAGTCCTGCGCTGGCCCGTCGTCCGCACGGACTGGGCGCCCGTGGGTGAGGTGGGCACGGCCGTCCTCAGAGCCAGGCTGCCCTGCGGGGAAGCAGGGAGCGGAGGACGCAGCCTCCCCTTACTGGCGAGGCGGGTGCTGTCGGGGAGCCTCTGGGATTACTGACCCCGGCCCGCCCACGTGGCCCGGGCTCCGAGCGGCCGGAGGGGGGCCTGGTCCCAGCCTGTGCCCCTTGCAGGCCCTCAAGTACTCCTTCCAGACGCACGACCGCCTCTGCTTCGTCATGGAGTACGCCAACGGCGGCGAGGTGGGCGGCGTCCCTGCCCTGCCCCTGCCCTGTCCCCCGGGCGCTGTGCTGCCCTGCCCCCTGCCCTGTCCCCCCGGGCGCTGTGCTGCCCTGCCCCCTGCCCTGTTCCCCCGGGCGCTGTGCTGCCCTGTCCCCCTGCCCTGTCCCCCCGGGCGCTGTGCTGCCCTGTCCCCCTGCCCTGCCCCCCCGGGCACTGTACTGCCCTGTCCCCCCGGGCGCTGTGCTGCCCTGTCCCCCCCACCCCCCGGGCGCTGTGCTGCCCTCCCCCCCCCCAGGGCGGGAGGGATGGCCCTCCCCCTGGCGGCGGGCGTGGTGCGAGGCTCCCCTCTCGCAGCTGTTCTTCCACCTGACCCGCGAGCGCGTGTTCCCCGAGGACCGGGCCCGCTTCTACAGCGCCGAGATCGTGTCGGCCCTGGACTACCTGCACTCGGAGAAGAACGTGGTCTACCGGGACCTCAAGGTGCGGCGCCGCCGGGGGGGGGGGGGGGGGGGGGGGGGCCGGCCCGGGGTGGGGGGGGCGGGCGCTGACCGAGGCCCCGCCCGCCCGCCTGCCCGCAGCTGGAGAACCTGATGCTGGACAAGGACGGGCACATCAAGATCACCGACTTCGGGCTGTGCAAGGAGGGCATCAAGGACGGCGCCACCATGAAGACCTTCTGCGGGACGCCCGAGTACCTGGCCCCCGAGGTGCGGCCGCCGCCCGCCCGCCAAGCCAGCCGCCTGCCCCGCCCCTGCCCCTCCTGCCCCAGCCCCGCCCCGCCCGCCCCGCCCCCCAGCCCCTCCCCTCCTGACCCTGACCCAGCACACACACACACACGCACGCGCGCGCACACGCACACACGCCCTGCCGGTGCCTTCCGGCGACCGTGACCGTGACCTTGCGCCGCCCGCAGGTGCTGGAGGACAACGACTACGGCCGGGCGGTGGACTGGTGGGGGCTGGGCGTGGTCATGTACGAGATGCTGTGCGGGCGGCTGCCCTTCTACAACCAGGACCACGAGAAGCTCTTCGAGCTCATCCTCATGGAGGAGATCCGCTTCCCGCGCACGCTCAGCCCCGAGGCCAAGGCCCTGCTGGCGGGGCTGCTCAGGAAGGACCCCAAGCAGAGGTGCGCCCGGCACCGCGCCCACAGGCTGCCGGGCGGCGGGCGGCAGGGGAGGCCGGGCGAGGGGTCCCGGGCCCCCACCTGCTCAGGCAGACCCCCCTGCACACGGCAGCTCCTGCCCAACGCTCTGTCCCCCTCGGCCATCCCAGGCCGCAGGGCCCGGTGCTCTGGCACGCACTCGGGAGGGGGCGGGCGGGCGGGGTCTCACGGGCCGTGTCCCCGCAGGCTCGGAGGGGGCTCTGAGGACGCCAAGGAGATCATGCAGCACCGCTTCTTTGCCAGCATCGTGTGGCAGGACGTGTACGAGAAGAAGGTGCACTCCCCACCCCTGCTCGCCTGTGCGCGCACACGCCTGCTCACGGCCAGGCCTCCGGGGCGGACGGCTGCCCTCGCTCCCAACGGCTGTGCGCCGCGCTCCTGCGCCTGAGCTCCTGGCGGGTGCCCTCCGGGCTGGGCGCCGGGCCCTCCCTGGGCCACGCCGAAGGGGGCGGTGGGGCCTGGGGGAGGCAGGCCCCCGCGCGGGAATGCCACTCCACAGCCCAGTGGGGAACACGGGGACGGGGCTGCCCCTCCATCCTGAGTTACCCAGCCGCTGGCCAAGCAGGCCCATCCCCTGCACACCTTTCCCAGGGGGCCCTCACAGGAGAGTGAGAACGTTAGGAAACAGAAAAGTGGACGGGTCTTCTCACCCCAGAGCCTGGGAGTGTGTGTGGGGGCGTGGGGGCTGCAGAGCTAGGCTGCACTACCTCCTGTCGCCTCGGGCCGCCGGGAGCAGCCTCACCCCACCTTGTTGGAGGGTTCCTGGGCCTACAGCCACCCTCTCCGCAGTCTCCCGCCCAGAGCCTGTTGTGGGTGGGCGGCAGCTCACAGCCCTGGAGCAGTGTGTGGGCTCAGCTCCCCGGGTGGCTGTGGCTGCAGGCCAGTCTGACCTGCCCGTCCCCCCCACCCCATCTGCCCTGCAGCTCATCCCGCCCTTCAGGCCCCAGGTCACCTCGGAGACGGATACCCGGTATTTTGACGAGGAATTCACAGCCCAGATGATCACTATCACGCCCCCGGACCAAGGTGAGGGCCCTCCCTGACATCCCCAAGCCAGAGCCAGGGTCCCCGCCCGGGCCTCGGCCGGAAAGGCCCCCTTTGGCGGGTGCTGACCAGGGCGGAGGCTGGGGAGGAGCTGGAGCCTCAGGGCCTGCCTCAGCCTCCCCGCCCACCCGCCCGCCCGCAGACGACAACATGGAGTGTGTGGACAGCGAGCGGAGGCCCCACTTCCCGCAGTTCTCCTACTCGGCCAGCGGCACGGCCTGAGGGCCACGGCGGGCGCGCCTCCGTGCTCGCGGGAGCCGCGCCGTCCTCCGTGGGTGTCTCTCTCCGGAGGCGATGGAGAAACCACGCGCCCAGCACGCGGAGCCGTGGGCGGCGGTCCGCACCGGAGGGAGGTGCCCTGCGGTTTTTCTTAATTTATTTCACCCAGCCCCCGGCGTGGCCTCGCCTTCGGACGAGGCTCCGTGGGGAACGCTGAGGACTGCAGCAGCCACGTGCAATTCGGGGTCCGGTGGCCCCTGCCCGCGCCCCTCGGCCCCCTCGCCACCTGTCCCCGCTGCCCCGTCCCCGCCGCCCGGAGGCACCAGGACGGGCCGGCAGCCGCGGCGACGGCCAGGCGTGCCGGCAGGCGGTGAGCCCGTCGTCGTGTTGCTGTCGCCGTTCCTGTGCTTCGGGGCCGATCCAGAGAAGAGCTGCCCCCCACGCCCCCCCATGCACCCCTGTAGCCTGTCCTGTCCTAGAGGCTTCTCTCCCGCCTGGCCAGACACCGCGCTGCACCATGGCGTTTTTTTACATCAACTTTAGTATTTTTACTATTACAGACTCTCCCTCCGAACTCCAATAAAACGGCTTTTCAGCTTTGTGGCTGGTTTTGCTTGTGAGGAGCACCCCGTCCTGGCCCTGACTCCCAGGACGGCTTCTGGGGGCGGTGACTCCCAGGTCACATGGACTTGCTGGAGGGGGTGTCCTGGTCCCCTGGCCCCATGCCCAGGGCTCATCTGACTGCTGGGAAGGACCCTGTAGGACCCAGAGCTGGCGGAGGTCACACGGGGCGGAGGGGGCCGGGCGGGCGGGCTTCGGGCACCACCTGGTGGCTAGGAGAAGAACCGCCACCCAGCCCTAAACACCGGTCAGCTCCTGGCAGGGCCCAGAGGACCTGGCTCCTCACAGTGAGTGAGTGGGTGCAGTCCCCCCACTCTACGGCGCCCTGGGTGGGGGCGGCCCAGGCCTCGGTGGCCCTCTTCCCTCGCTTTGACGGGCCGTGGACCACCCCACGGTAGTGACGATGCCACCACAAGCAGCACGTCACAGCTCGGGGGCCAGGGTCAGGGAAGAGCCATGTGTCAGCTGGGGCTGTGCCACGGAGAACAGCGAGGACCCTCAGGCCAGTCTCACCTCTGCTCCCTCCCCGAAGAGCTGAAAGGGGGCTCCCAGAGACACCAGCCCGTGCTCCCGGCGGCAGCAGCCTCGGGCGGAGACGTGGCTGCAGCTCGGTGCCCGGGATGAGGACGGGACGATGGAACTGGCCCACCCGCCCCAGACAGCTCCACCTCCGGATGGACACGGACAGCTGCCACCACCAGGGCCGAGTTGTGCTCAGTGGAATGAGCCAGGCGCGAAGGCCGTCCCTGCACGGTGGGCCCCGCCGAGGTCCCTGGAGGAGTCAGACCCACTGGGGCGCTGGGGCACAGTGGGGCTGGGCTGGGGGGTTATGGGGCAGGTCAGCTGTGCAGGATGGGAGCTCAGGACCGTCTGGTGCTGGGAGCATGGCTGTGAAGTGCTCAAGGCCCCGAGCTGGGTGCTGACAGACGGTAAGATGGCACTTGGTGGTATCACCACGCGACAGAAACACACACTGCCGACACCAGGAAACTGCCACACCGCCCGAGCTTCAGGCTCCGAAGCGGTTCCGAGGGGCAGGTGAGGTGTGAAGGTGGAGGAGCCTTCTGAGCCGGAGCGGGGTGTCAGGTGGGGGTGCTGACCAGGCCAAGGGTGCGATGGGCGGGTAGGTGCCTCAGGGATATTCCGGTCACAGGCACGGGCACGGACACAGCAGGACCTGATCTGGTGTCCCTCCTGAGCCCTGGGGAACAGTTTGGGGCAGGAGACAGGGAGAGAACTGGGCACTGTCCTGCCAGGGCCGGGCCTGCTGGCTGGCCTGGGGCTGTGGGCAGTGAGGGCCAGTGGGGTGCATCCCTCCTGTGTCCCCACAACACCTGCCCTCCCCAGCCTCGGGGGCAGGAAGTGGGAACAGTGATCCTCCACTCCGCGACTGCCCACGCTGGGGCAGGTGTGGATCAACGGGTCCACTCAGGGGCTGCCACAGCGACATCCAGAAGTCTGGACATCACCCCCCACCCTGGGCTGTGCTGGCACAATGTCCCTGGCTCTGGAGTCTGACGACCTGGGTTCAAAGCTTTTCTCGCTGGGACTGGAGGGGGTGGGCTGGGGTAGGTGATGCACTTTGACCTCCATTTCCCATCTGTAACGCTAGGTGACCAGGCACGCACTTGCGTGAAGCTCGGTGGGCGCTGTGCGCTGGCAGAGTGGCATGGAGGCCCTGCCTCTGCCGTGGCCCCTCCGGCACCTGCAGGTCACGGGACCTGGAGGCCGCACCCCCGGACTGTTAACATAAGCAAGTCCTCTCGTCCAAATATAGAGGATTTATTCGGTCATCAGTACAAAACATGAACAGGTCCCTCTGCGTCGACAGGCCACCTCCGGGAAGGCACGTCCGCGGCTCAGGCCTCGAACACAGCACAGCTGGCACAAAGCACCTTCTCGTGGACGCCGCTGCAGCTGCACCATCGCAGGGAGAGAGAAGAGCTGGCGTCAGGGCTGTGTCCCCCAAGTTTACGTGTGGGGGTGCTACCCAGGCCGTTCGCTGCAGACCGTTAGGACGGGGCCCCTGCGGGCGGGTGCGGAGTGAACACACGGGAGGAGGAGGACGTGCAGAGGGGATGGACACGGGAGCCCCCTGCGGGCGGGAGCCCGGGATGGGGGACAGGAGGGGAGCAGGTCCCTCCCGCGGCCTCTGAAGGAACCACCCGACACCCCTCCTGGACTTCGCGCCCAGAGAGTGAGGACGAAGACCGGCAGGTATGTGGACTGAGAGCCAATGAGCTGCCTGGGTCCCACCTGTGTGTCATTGGACGGAGGCCCCTCAGAGCCTCCAGGAGTCCGGCGAGGGTTACCGGCCACGATGGCTCACCTCCATCATGTGGCTCCTGAGCTGCGGTCTGCCGACCACTGAAGTAAGGTAACGACGAGGACACCCAGGGTTCGCGGGGAAACCCATCAGAGAGGTCCCGGAAGGCCAGGAGACTGGCAACGTGCTGCAGGACACCCGGGAGGGCCATGGGGTCCAAGACGCCCCTGAGAACTCAGCACCAGCTGGCCAGTTCTCGCTGGGGAGCCATGAAGCAGCCCCCAGCCCAGCCCCTGCCGCCCGCAGCCGAGCTGTGAGCCCCAGAACAGCCATTGTAGGTGTGGGCGGGACACGCCAGCACCCGAAGCCAGGGCCCTGCCTGAGCAGCTGGCGAGGGGCGGGAGGCGGCGGCAGAGACCCGTGGTCTGGCTCCCAAGCCTGGGCGGCAGTTGGCCTCACGGCCGAGAGCAGAGAGCCAGCCCTGGGTGTGGCCAGAGGCCGAGGCCTGCTGACCGGGCAGAGTGAGTTCTGTGGGAACGGGAAGGGGAGGGAGGCTGGCGGGGCATGTGCAGAGGGTCTGGTGAGGACACTGCAGGCGGGAGGAAGGTTCCAGTCCAGGGGCTGCCCTCTACCTGCCCTCCTGCAGGGCCCCTGTCCATCTGTCAGCTACCGTATGTGCGTAACTCCCAGCACTCAGCCTCCACCCTGGATGACACGAGTGTCCCCCAGTCTCTCTCTCTCTTGTTTTAAATACGTTTTTAATTGGTTTCAGAAAGGGAGAGGGAGATAGAAACAACGATGAGAGAATCATTGATTGGCTGCCTCCTGCACGCCCCCTACTGGGGACTGAGCCCACAACCCCGGCATGTGCTCTTGACCGGACTTGATCCGGGACCCTTCAGTCCACAGGCGACACTGTCCACTGAGCCACACCGGCCAGGGCCCTGTCTCTGGTCCCGTCCTGGGAGCCGCCTCAGGGCCTGGGTCCTTCCCCGAGCCACCGGGCTTTGAGCCGTCAGACAGCCGGACTCCCTGCGGCTGGCTGCAAGGCCGTCGGGTGAAGCTGCGATAGGTGTACGACCCGCTCCGAGACGGGGGTGGGGGTGGGGGGATCACTCACCCACACACCCAGGAACGGCTGAGCACACTCCCTGTCCTGCTCTGCACCCACGCCCAGACAGGCCCCACACCTGCCGCCCGGGCCAGGTGCTCTGCGGGGAGACCGAGGGGAGCCGTGCGGCCTGAAGCCGGGCTGGAAGGACTGACTGTGCTACCTCAGGCCGGCCCGCCACAGGCTGCACGGGGACAGAGCCGGCAGTGACGCGGGTTTCCCAATGACGGACCCGCTTCACACGCCCCAGCCCTGGCTGTGCCCGCCCGTGGCTGTGCCCCCCCCCCCCCTCCCCGCCTGCCCATCCCACACTTACTCCACGAGCGCGCACAGGGTGCAGGCCACGGCCCCGCAGCTGCCGCAGGTGCGCATGCAGTGCCCGCACAGGGCGCGCTCACACTGGCCGCAGGCCGCCGCCCCGTCCGCCGCCCGCACGCACGAGGAGCAGGCTCTGCACGCCGCCCCGGGCGCATCTGTGAGGGAGAGATGCCAGCGGTCAGCGGTCAGCAGGCAGGGCTGCGGACACGGCTTCCCCAAGGGCAGGCTGACCTCCTCACGCACTGACCGCCCTGGACCCTCACGGCCCGAGCAGGTCCGGCACAGCCCTGCTCCGCGAGGGAGCTCCCGGGGTGTGGGCTCCTGCTACCGAACCCCAGCGCTGGGTGCCCGTGCTGAAGGGCCGGCTTTTCCCTGCGTGTCCTGGAGTCTCGGCCTTCGTCCCGTGGTCTCAACATGTGACCAGGCCTCAGGTTAAGAGTCCTGGAGCCCACCCAGATCAGGGTGGGCTGGGACTAAGAGCGGCAGCACAGGTGGCAGCCTGAGATGCTCAGTGACAGGCCAACCACCAGGCTGTCCCTCAGACAGGATCTGGGCTCGGAAAGCCGGTGGACTGCCCCTCCCCCTGCAGCTAGAAAGCTGATCACAGCTCCCGGCCTGAGTGCCAGCAGGGGGGGGGGGGGGGGCAGACTGCATGAGGCAGCCTCCCAGGGTCCCCAGCTCCCGCCCCTGCTGGCACAGTGTCCCCGATGGCGGGACAGCCCCGCCACGTCCCCCTCCACGCCCCACTCACCGGCTTCGAAGGCCTGGGCTCCCGCCCTGGTCAGCCGGCCGTCTGGTCCGATCAGCATCTGCCCCCGTGTGGCCCGAGGGGCCTCCATGGGGCCCGGCTTCGGGGACTCGGGCAGGTCAACCACGGCGCAGCCTTCCTCCCACGTGTGGTCCATGTAGGCCTTGGCCCCGCGGAACAGGAGCTGCCTGGTCCTCTCTGCAAGACAAGGCCCTCCTGTGACACCTTCGCAGCCGGGGCCTTGCACAGCCCGTCCCGACCCCCGACCCCTGACCCCCACCATCCCGCAGGCCAGGCGTGGAGGCCCGCTGCTCCCCGAGAACTGGGCCCACTCTACCCCCCCCCCCCCCCGCCCGCCCCAGGGAGGCTCCAGACCTGCAGCCCCCAGCCCCGGGCTCCTTCTGGGCCCCCTGCTCATCTGCCTCCCCCTCTCCAGCTGGCCTCACCTCGCTGCTGCCCCCAGCTCCCCGCGCCCTCCAGCCAGCCCTGTACAGCCCCGTCAGAGCTGCGGGCCCCACGTCCACAGGCGGAGGCTCCGAGCTGGCCTCCCGCCGGCCCTGTGCACCCCCTTCACTCACTGCAGAGCGGCTGGCACCGGCCTGGCAGCAGTGGCTCCTGACAGAGGCCTTTCCCAGACCTCAGGGGTCCTGGACACCCCGGAGCCCAAGTGGCTGCTCAGCACCCAGTCACCCAGGGGCGTTCACAAGATGGGGCGCCAGGGGCCAGCCCCCCAAAGGCTTCCTCCTCCCTCCCGAGTCCCAACAGAGCCGGTGGAGCTGCAGGAAGCGGGTGGCTCACTGCAGAATGGGCCACAGCCGTCACCAGGGACCTCAAATGTGGGGGCTGCTGACAGCTAGTGGGCCCTCCTCCCCGCTCACCTGTGAGCCCGGCACGCACATGGGGAGGCTGGGCTTGGGCCTGGGCCAGCAGTGGGGCTCACGCCCGAGCACAAACAAGGGCAGGGCAGCTGGGACGCTGTGGCTGGGGGAGGGGCGGCAGGAGGGGAGAACGTCTCCTCTTCCCAGGCGGCCTCTCTCATTCCATCACCAACAGCAGGGCCGCTCCCTAACGGTCCAGCTCCGCCTCTCGGTAAGGTAAGCGCCACGCTGTAGCTGCCCCCACCACCCACCACCCCAAACGGACGGGCCACGGCACCCTCTGCACCAGCGCCCGGGAGCGGCCTCCGATGGCTCGCGGGCCTCGCTGACCACCCTGAGCGGGGCCTTCCGCTTCCGGCCGGGGCAGCCTGCTCCTGGCCTCCCGCCCGCCCGCCCACCGCTCACCTGCGGGCTCAGCTCAGCTCTCCCTCCGCGGACCCCGGACGCCCACGCAGGGGCTTGCAGGGCCGGGGCCGGCCCGGGCCGCCGGCCCTCCCCCTGGGCCCCTCCCGCAGAGCCGGCTCCCGGAGGCGGCGCCGGCGCAGCGGCAGGGCCGGGCAGGGCGGCACACCTCCGTGGGAACCGGCGCTTCCGGGAGCTTAGTGCCCCAGGACGCCCCTCGCTGCCCTCTGGCTGGGCCTGAGGGCCCCAGGGCCGGGCAGGCGGGCGAGCGCGCGAAGTCGGCATCCCCGCAGGGCCGAGCGGGAGGCGGCGCCGCGCGGAGGCCGCTCGTGGGGGGCGGCAGCGACACGTCGTACGGGCTGTGGCCGCCGCGGGTGGGCGTGGGCGCATCCCCGTCCCGCTCCAACCCCCGGCCCCCGGCCCCCCGCCGCCGGCCCCCGGCCCCCCGCGGGCCCCGGCCTCCCGGGGGCGCGGCCTGCGGGACCGCCCGTCCCGCCCCGCGCCGCGGGAGGAAGCCCCACGCCGCACTCACCGTAGACCTCCCGCGAGTACTGCTCGGAGCACACGCCGCGGCCCAGCTCCTTCCAGCCCACGCGGACCTTGAGCTGCAGCGGGGCCGCGACCCCGAAGGGGCAGCCCCGCTTGGGCATCGCCGCAGGCCAGGGAGTTCGCGTCCGCGCCCGGCCGCCCTCCTGACGTCACTGACGCGCGCCAGCCCTCGCGTGCGGCGCGGCGGGGCATAGGCCAGGAGCGAGAGGAGGGGCGGGGCTCCGGCGCAGCGCGGCGCCGGATAGGCCGGGAAAGCACAGGGGGCGGGGCTGGCGCGCGGCGCGGGAAAAAGCAGGGCGAGTGGGCGCGCCGGGGCTGCGAGAGGGCGGTGCCGTGAGCGCGCGGCACGGGATAGGCCGGTTGGGCAAGATTCGAGCCGGGGGGCGGACCCTGCGTGAGGCGCGGCGCGGGATAGGCCGAATGCGGCTTGGGGGCGGGACTTGCGAGAGGCGCGGCGCGTGATAGGGTAGAGGCGACCTCGGCGTGGGCGGGGCAGGATGTCTGCTCTTTCCATTTTGTTGGTAAACAACTGTGGGAACTGGTTACGGTTCCTCTGGCTTTACGCCCCCAGAGTTAGAGGATGACTCCCTTTCTCCTCATGTTCAAAATCACCGGAGTGGAGAGTGACATGCGCACGCCCGGGACGTCCCAGGGGAAGGCCTTTCCCACAGACCGCGAGGCGCGCGTGGCTCCCGGGGCTCTGGCCCGGAAGTGCCTCCCCACACCCGGGTCCTCCGTCATGCACTTCCGGTGACAAGGGCTGCCGCCTCGGTGGGAGTGCACCTCACACGTGACGCCACGTCCGCCGGGGTGTCCAGCCCGGGGCTGTCAGTGTGGCCGGGCCGCGGCGTGGCTGCCTGAGGACCCTGGCGGCCCGGTGTAGGGGGTGGTGAGGGTGCTCGGCGCATTCCCGTGGGAGACTGTTCCGGGGCCCAGTGCCCAGCGGAAGGCGGGGTGGGGTTGGGGGGAGGAGATGAGCATTTAAGAAAAGCGCAGCTCTCCCAGGTGCTGAGAACAGCACCGCCCGCCCAACAGAATTGTGTCCTTACCCACTGCTGTGTGTCCTGACCACGGATGACCTGAGCATCCGCTCAGACTCCCGGGCCAGGCTGCTGGTGCCCGGCAGAGAGCCTCTGATCATCACCAGGACTCTCAGCACCCCGATACGAAACATCGGCGGCTGAGCGTCCACTCTGGACCAGGAGGTCACCCCCTAGATTCCCCGTCAGGGCACGTGCCCGGGCTGCAGGCTCCATCCCCAATGCAGGGCGTGCGGAGGCAGCTGGCCCATGATTCTCTCATCCTAGGTGCTTCTCTCTCTCTCTTCCTCCCTCCCTTCCTCTCTGAAGGCAATAAAAGACATTTTAAAACATAAGTAAATAAATAACAGGGCTGTGTGTGGGACAACCCGTGACCAGCGCTCCGTTCACCCGCAGAGACCCACAGGGCCAGGCAGCACCCGCGGACACACGGGCGGGCTGAGTGGGTCCATCACCCAGTGGAGGGGGCGGGGAGGGGCTTGGGCTTCAGAGCGAAACCCTTGAATGTTTGGAAAACACATTTACTGCCATGGTCCCTCTTACACCGGCTGGTCTGAGCAAATAAACCATTCGGCTTGGTGACATCAAACACGTGTGTCACCCAGACCAGTAACTGCAAAGCATGGCTGATGACATCTAGTGTTTAAAAGTCAAAACAGCCGAAACCGGTTTGGCTCAGTGGATAGAACATCGGCCTGAAGACTGAAAGGTCCCAGGTTCGATTCTGGTCAAGGGCATGTACCTTGGTTGTGGGCACATCCCCAGTAAGGGGGTGTGCAAGAGGCAGCTGATCAATGTTTCTCTCTCATCGATGTTTCTAGCTCTCTATCCCTCTCTCTTCCTCTCTGTAAAAAAATCAATAAAATATGTTTTAAAAAATAAAATAAATTATAATAAAAGTCAAAACAAGGGGCACATGCCTGGGTTGTGGGCTGGATCCCCAGTGGGGAGACACGGGAAGCAGTTGATCCATGATCCTCTCTCTTCATGGATGTTTCTATTTTTCTCCCTCTCCCTTCCTCTCTAAAATCAATAAAAAATATATCTACACACTAATAAAAGAGAAATATGCAAATTGATCATACCTCCAAGATGATCACCAGCCAATCAGGAGTGGTTATGAAAATTAATTGAACAAAGATGGCGGGTTAATTTGCATGCAAAACAGGGAGTGGCCAGGCAGGGTGGGACACCTGCTATGAGAGGGAGGGTGGGGGGTGGAGGGATCTACAGGAGCAGCACTCCCGCTGGATCGGAAAAGACTGAAGGCTCTGGGCGGAGCCAAGAGGAAATGCCTGGGTCTTTGCAGCCAGGGCAAGGAAGGCCTATTGCACAAATCTTTGTGCAACAGGCCTCTAGTGTGTGTGTGTGTGTGTGTGTGTATATATATATATATATATATATATATATATATATATATATATATATATATCAAAACAAAATGACAGAGTCAGCCCAGCAGGCATGGCTCCGTGGTTAAGAATTGACTTATGAACCTGGAGGTCATGATTTGATTCTGTAGTCAGGGCATAGGCCTCGTTTGCAGGCTCGGTCCCCAGTGGGGGGCGTGCAGGAGGCAGCCAATCCATGATTCTCTCTCATCATGGATGTTTCTCTCCCTTCCTCTCTGAAATCAATAAAAATATATGCTTTTAAAAATCATTAAAAAAAATAAAATAAAATAAAAAAATCATAAAAGACAAAGTGAGAACGGAGCATGAGTGACCACGCCCGCTCAGTGGCTCCCGGATGTTTATTGCTGACCCGCTCCAACCGACACACAACACGTGACAGGAAGGAGCCACCCAAGTCCGTGTGCCCCGAGCACCCAGGCTCGTCGTGAACAGGAGGGTCGGGCGGTGCGTGCGGCCAGCGTCCCGACATGTAAGAGGGTCAGCGCAGCCCACAGCGTCAGGAGGAGAGGAAGCCGCCCAGTCTGCTCCTGTTTCTTATGTCTCGGCCCTGCTGCTGCCTCCGAGGGCCCAGGACATGCTGTGGCCGCTGTCACCGGCTAAAACAGCTGGATGATCGAGTCCCGGGACTTGCCGACTCCAACCCATTTCACTGAAAGGGGAAAGTCGTTCAGGCTGGGCACCGGGGAGGGGCGGGGAGTGTGCCGGGCGCCAGGCACAGGGCACCCACCTGGCACGCCCACGTGGTTCTCCACGAACCGCACGTAGTTCTGGGCCTGCGGGGGCAGGTCCTCCCACTTCCTGGCGCCTGTGGTGTCCGCCTTCCAGCCGGGCAGCGTCTCATACTCCACCTCCACCTTCTGCAGCATCTCCTGGTTCGCTGGGGACACACACAGGGTGCCAGGCCCCTCAGACCTCGCTCTGCTGCAGGCAGAGGCGGGGAAGCTGGGACCCCTGCCCGGTGCCTGTGTCCCTGGGGGCTCAGTGTCCAGTCGCCCCACTTGGCTTCCTCAGGGTGCGGGAGGGGTTCTGGGATACTGGCTGTACCCCTTTCAAACGGGCCCCCTCCACCTGCACGTGGATTCGCCGTGGCTCTGCTGCACGACCCCGGTCCACTCAGCTAAGGAAGCCACAGACGCCGCTTGGAAATTCTAGCGGGCGCCCGGCCGGTGGCTCTGTGGCTCTGAGACTTTAAGACAACATCGCCCTGACTGGTTTGGCTCCGTGGATAGAGCGTCGGCCTGCGGACTGAAGAGTCCCAGGTTCAATTTCGGTCAAGGGCATGTACCTTGGTTGCAGGCACATCCACAGTGGGAGGTGTGCAGGAAGCAGCTGATCGATGTTTCTCTCTCTCTCATCGATGTTTCTGAGTCTCTATCCCCCTCCCTTCCTCTCTGTAAAAAAAATCAATAGAATATATATTTTTTAGGAAAAAATTAAAAAACAAAACAAAAAGACATGTTCTTGTTGATGTCAGAGAGAAGGGGAGAGGGAGAGTGGTGGAAACACCAATGACGAGAGAGAAGCAGGGATGGGCCGCCTCCTGCACGCCCCCCACTGGGGACCGAGCCTGAAACCCAGGCCTATGCGCTGACCGGGAATCGAACCCTGACCTCCTGGGTCACAGGTTGACGCTCAGCCGCTGAGGTGGCTCTGAGATTTTAGCGTGCTAAGACCTCCTGAAGGAGCTAAGCCCGCCTCTCCCCGGGCAGGGCCCCACGGACAGGACCCTGGGCTCAGAGGTGCCAGCCATCGCTACCGATGGAAGACGCTGGCACAGGCCGGCCACCCCGGCCCTGACCCTGGTCACACTGCACTCTGTGCCCTCTCAGAGGCCAGGGTCCGTAGGGTGAGACAGGGCCCTGGAGTCGCTGGTGGGTCCACACAGACAGGGAGGGAGGCGGCCCCGTGGCCAGCACGGGAGGAGCCACTGGTGCCGTGGGCCCGAGTGTGAGTCAGAACCCAGCTGAGACGTGTGACCAAGGAAACCGTGCTTTTCGGGGGCTGGGGGAGCCCAGCCAGGCCTTCCACAGCGCGTGCAGGCTTTCTCGGGTCACATTCCATCTTGCTGTTTGTGGAGTTTCAGAGTCACGGCTGCACCCAGGGGCCCGCGGCCCCCCAGGGCCTAGGGTTGTCCCAGTTCTCCCACCTGCCCTGGCAGGTCCCTCTGACACACCTGCAGCCCCGGAGCCCCGGCCGCGCCCTCAGGGGCAGGCCTGTGCGGCCAGGGCTCAGGCACCGCTGCTTCTGCGCTGGCAGGGATGGGGGCAGGGGGGGGGACGGGGGCGGGTAGGGCGGGAGGGCAAGCCCTTCCCTTCTCACCAGGCCCGGGCTGGACCGTCTGTGGCCGGTGCCGCTGCCCAGGGCGGGAAGCCCCTCCCCACATACCTGGGAAGTAAGGGATCCTCTTCCCGTTCAGCTTGTAGGAGATGCCGACCTTGATCTCGTCCAGGGCGTCCAAGATGTCCAGCTTGGTCAGGGCCAGCCTGTCGGGGGGGGGGGGGACACAGTGGAGGCTGTGGGCCCCGTGGGCTCTGGGCGGCCGGGTTCCCCGCGGGGTCTGGGCGTCCGGGTCCGCAGGGTCTGGGCGTCCGGGGATCCCAGTGAGGTCTGGGCGTCCGGGGTTCCCCGTGGTGTCTGGGCGTCCGGGGCCGTGGGGTCTGGGCGTCCGGGGTTCCCCGTGGGGTCTGGGTGTCCGAGGCCGTGGGGTGTGGGTGTCCGGGGCCGTGGGGTTTGGGAGTCCGGGGCCGGGGGGTCTGGGCATCCGGGGCAGGGGGGTGTGGGAGCCGGTCAGCCGGTGGACGGCCCCGGGGACGGTGAGGTGCTCACGCGGTGAAGCCGTTGACCATGTGGGCGTAGCGCAGGATCACCAGGTCCAGCCAGCCGCAGCGCCTCTTCCTGCCGGTGGTCACGCCCCACTCATGCCCGCGGTTCTGCAGCAGGTCGCCGATCTCCTGGGGAGCACGGAGCCTGGCGCCGCTGGGGCCACGCTGGCGGCTGCCCCCCCACGGACACCCTGCTCCTGGACCCCGTGCCCCGCTGAGGCTCGGCCCTGCAGGCAGCGGCCAGAGGGCTCTGCCCGAGGCCAGGCCCAGCCGCACTGCCAGATTCTTCCAGACCTGGACCCCCCACCTCACACACCAGCTCAGAACAGGGCCTCCCGTCCTCTGGCCCCCAGACACCAGGCCAGGCAGCTGGGGCCCCTGAGCCAAGGGGCCCTGCCCCACTCGCCTGCCTGCGGCGCCCTCGGGAGCAAGCTGCATGGACACGTGTGTGCACCGCACATCCTCAGCACCAGGCCACGAGGGGCCACACTGCCAGGCCCACAGCCTCACACACGTGCACGCCCAGGGCACGGCCTCCCTCCCGCCGCCCGCGCCGAGACTCACGTTGATCTGCTCCGTGGGGAAGGCGCCGATGCCCACGCGTGTGGTGTAGGCCTTCACCACGCCATACACGTCGCCCACGTTCTGGGGCGGGATGCCCAGCCCCGTGCACACGCCGCCCACCGTGCAGTTGGAGGATGTCACGAAGGGGTAGGTCCCTGGGAGACACACACGGTCAGGCCCCCCCAGATCACCCCAGCCCAGGCCCCCCCAGATCACCCCAGCCCGGGCCCCCCCCAGATCACCCCAGCCCGCACCCCCCCCAGATCACCCCAGCCCGCCCCCCCCAGATCACCCCAGCCCAGGCCCCCCCAGATCACCCCAGCCCGGGCCCCCCCCAGATCACCCCAGCCCGGGCCCCCCCCCCCAGATCACCCCATCAGGGACCCTCCCCCAGATCACCCAGCCTGGGGCCCTCAGGCAGAAGACATGGTGGGTAAGACCCCCCCAGTCACCCCCTCCCCCTGCACAGCCCTCAGGGGCCTCAGGAACCGTCCTGGGGGAGTGGCCCCACGGGGTCTGGGGGGCAGGAGGGGAAGGTGGCTCTGCAGCAGGTGCCCCGGTGCTGTGTGTCCGGGGAGGGGGAGGGAGGTGCATGCGGTGCGCTTTCACCATCCCGCCCCATCTTCTCTGGGCCCTGGGCCTCTCCTCTCAGCCGCCTCCCCTCTCCGCTAAGTTAGAAGGAGGATGCGATCAGCTCGGAGGCAGGGATGAAGGCCACGCCCGTCCCCGCAGACAGGACAGAGGACAGAGCAGGCGTGGGGCCGCCCGGCCGCACCGAAGTCGATGTCCAGCAGGGCGGCGTTGGCGCCCTCCACCAGGATCTTCTTGGGGGGGCCGTGCAGCGCCTCGTACATGAAGTGCACGCCGTCCCGGACCATGGGCCGGATCCTCTCCGCAAAGCCCTGTGGGGGCGGGAGGCTGTGGGGCCCGGGCAGCCCCCACCCCCAGCTCTCCCGACCGCCCGGCTCACCCAGACATCCCCCGCCCCAGCGGGGCCTGGCCCCACGCCGCCCCCCAGGGCGTCTGCAAGACCCAGCGCCTCCTCGGTGACCCTGCGGTGGAGGGGGATGCGTCCCCCACTTCATCCGCTGGAGCCTGATCCCCAGGCCCTCCAGGTGGGGTTGGGCTGGGGTAATGGCGCTCCAGGGAGGCCCTGGGTGGCTCTGATCCAGCCGACTGTCCCTACGCAGCCCTGCTCTGTCCTCATTCACAGCCCAGACACGGCGGGAGGAGGGGATCCCAGCCGGAAACTTCCAGAAGGGCTCTGTGCTGAGCAGGGGGGCCACTGCATCTGCTGCCTTGGCTGGGACAGCACCACCTCCAGCCCAGCACGTCCCGGGCAGGTCCCCAGAGCGGACGTGGGCCCAGGCCTGGTGAGCCCGGCCTCCACCGGAGCCTGTGGCCCCAGGAAGGCCCACCCCCCGTGCTCACCCCGGAACGGGTGCACCCCCCGAGGGAGTCCTCCCCTACCTTGAGCTTCTTGAGCTGGCCGTCCACGTCGATCTCCAGCGAGGGGAACATGGACTGGTGCTGGTGGGCCAGGTTCTTGAACCTGCAGAGGGACAGCGGCGGGTCCCGGGCCTGCCGGGTCCCCAGCCCCCCAGGGGCCCTCCGGCCGGGGCGGCCATACCTGGCGGAGAACTCATCGAAGCCGGCCAGCAGGTCGCAGATGCGCAGGCCCGTGCGGGCCGCCTTGGACGAGTAGGCGGGGCCAATGCCCTTGCGGGTGGTGCCGATGCTGGGGGCGGGGCGGGGGGGTGAGCGCGGAGCCCCCGGAACGGCCCCCGACCCAGACCCATCCGCCCGTTGCTGCCCGTTGCCAGGGCAGGGCCTCCCGGCTGTGGGAGCCACTGGACTCCTGTAGACGCTCAGGGCTGGGCTGGGCAGTGGCAGCCGAGTCCACCTGCACCCCGTCCACCACCCCACCCCATCTGTTTCCTCCCCGCCCTCGCCCTGGCCTCTGTCCGGCCATGCTGTGTGTGCACTGGCTCCTGTGCGTGTGTACGCATGTCAGCATGTGTGCCCCAGTGTGTGTTCCCATGCGTGTGAACGTGAGGACCAGTCCTGCCCCCTGCTGGCAGGTCTGTGGAGGGCACCTCCCCGGCCCGGGGCGGGCGTGGCCTGTGTGGGGTCAGGGCCGCGGGGGTCCCGGTGACATGGCGGACGGACGGCAGGTGCACGCCTGGGGGGGCCGGGTGAACCGAGGGCTGCTCCCCGGGGGCTCTGGGTCCAGGTGCCCCCATCGCGCTGCCCACAGCACGCCCAGGCCCAGCCCGTGGCCCAGCCCGCAGCTGCACTCACTTCTTCCCCTCCTGGGCCTGCCGCTGCACCTCCTGCAGCCCGTCCACCGCCTGGTGGAAGTCAAACACTGTGCGCAGCACCGAGAGAGAGAGACCGGGGTCAGAGCCACACCCACTGCCCACAGGCCCCCTGTCTCCCACAGCCTCCGCTGCTCCCCACAGGCCCCACTGCCCCCCACTGCCCCACAGGCCCCACTGCCCCCCACAGCGCCGGCCTCCATGGGAAAGTGGACATCCAATGTGAAGGGACACATGGGGCAGCTGGTGTGAAGGGGCACATGGGCGGCTGGTGTGAAGGGGCACGTGGGGCGGCTGGTGTGAAGGGGCACGTGGGGCGGCTGGTGTGAAGGGGCACGTGGGGCGGCTGGTGTGAAGGGGCACGTGGGGCGGCTGGTGTGAAGGGGCATGTGGGGCGGCTGGTGTGAAGGGGCACGTGGGGCGGCTGGTGTGAAGGGGCACGTGGGCGGCTGGTGTGAAGGGGCACGTGGGGCGGCTGGTGTGAAGGGGCACGTGGGCGGCTGGTGTGAAGGGGCACGTGGGGCGGCTGGTGTGAAGGGGCACGTGGGCGGCTGGTGTGAAGGGGCACGTGGGGCGGCTGGTGTGAAGGGGCACGTGGGCGGCTGGTGTGAAGGGGCACGTGGGGCGGCTGGTGTGAAGGGGCACATGGGCGAGCTGGTGTGAAGGGGCACATGGGCGGCTGGTGTGAAGGGGCACATGGGCGGCTGGTGTGAAGGGGCACGTGGGCGGCTGGTGTGAAGGGGCACGTGGGGCGGGCCGGTGTGAAGGGGCACGTGGGGCGGGCTGGTGTGAAGGGGCACGTGGGGCGGCTGGTGTGAAGGGGCACGTGGGGCGGCTGGTGTGAAGGGGCACGTGGGGCGGCTGGTGTGAAGGGGCACGTGGGCGGCTGGTGTGAAGGGGCACGTGGGGCGGCTGGTGTGAAGGGGCACGTGGGCGGCTGGTGTGAAGGGGCACGTGGGGCGGCTGGTGTGAAGGGGCACGTGGGGCGAGCTGGTGTGAAGGGGCACGTGGGGCGGCTGGTGTGAAGGGGCACGTGGGGCGGCTGGTGTGAAGGGGCACGTGGGGCGGCTGGTGTGAAGGGGCATGTGGGGCGGCTGGTGTGAAGGGGCACGTGGGGCGGCTGGTGTGAAGGGGCACGTGGGCGGCTGGTGTGAAGGGGCACGTGGGGCGGCTGGTGTGAAGGGGCACGTGGGCGGCTGGTGTGAAGGGGCACGTGGGGCGGCTGGTGTGAAGGGGCACGTGGGGCGAGCTGGTGTGAAGGGGCACATGGGCGGCTGGTGTGAAGGGGCACGTGGGGCGAGCTGGTGTGAAGGGGCACATGGGCGGCTGGTGTGAAGGGGCACGTGGGCGGCTGGTGTGAAGGGGCACGTGGGGCGGCTGGTGTGAAGGGGCACGTGGGGCGAGCTGGTGTGAAGGGGCACATGGGCGGCTGGTGTGAAGGGGCACATGGGCGGCTGGTGTGAAGGGGCACGTGGGCGGCTGGTGTGAAGGGGCACGTGGGGCGGGCCGGTGTGAAGGGGCACGTGGGGCGGGCTGGTGTGAAGGGGCACGTGGGGCGGCTGGTGTGAAGGGGCACGTGGGCGGGCTGGTGTGAAGGGGCACGTGAGGCGGCTGGTGTGAAGGGGCACGTGGGCGGGCTGGTGTGAAGGGGCACGTGGGGCGGCTGGTGTGAAGGGGCACGTGGGCGGGCTGGTGTGAAGGGGCACGTGAGGCGGCTGGTGTGAAGGGGCACGTGGGCGGGCTGGTGTGAAGGGGCACATGGGGCGGGCTGGTGTGAAGGGGCACATGGGCGGGCCGGTGTGAAGGGGCACATGGGCGGGCCGGTGTGAAGGGGCACATGGGGCGGCTGGTGTGAAGGGGCACGCGGGGCGGCTGGTGTGAAGGGGCACGTGGGCGGCTGGTGTGAAGGGGCACGTGGGGCGGCTGGTGTGAAGGGGCACGTGGGGCGGCTGGTGTGAAGGGGCACATGGGGCGGCTGGTGTGAAGGGGCACATGGGCGGGCCGGTGTGAAGGGGCACGTGGGGCGGCTGGTGTGAAGGGGCACGTGGGGCGGCTGGTGTGAAGGGGCACGTGGGGCGGCTGGTGTGGCTGAATCGCTGAGCCCGGCCTCTGGGCGCTGGGAAGGCGGTGGGCAGGGGAGGTCACTCACCGAGGTGGGCGCGGTCGGAGATGATGAGCCTCTTCTCCCAGTCCCTGAGGCCTGCGGGCGGGCGCAGAGGGGCTGAGGGGCGGCTCTGGGCGCACCACCTCCCGCCAGAGTCCCAGTGCTGGGTAAATGACAGGCCCTCCCCTCGTGGCCTCTCGCCTGTGGGGGTACCACCCCCGCACACCAGGGGCACCCTCCACAGCTGCCAGCACCCATCTCCCCGCAGGCCTCCCTGCGGGCGCCTCTTCTCTCGTTCCCGGGCTCCCCTGAGTCTGAGCTGCACCTCCCGGACTCGCTCGGCCTCCTCCCCGCCCCTCTGGGGCCTCGGGGGCTGTCCCGGTCACCCTCACGGGCTCCCCCGCCGGACGCCCTGGCCGTGGCCCCGGGCACTGCTCGCCGGGCCCCGGAACCACAGCTCTCCCCGAAGGTGGGCCGGTCACCGGAGAGAACCCACAGGGCGCCAGCCGGCACGGCCACCGGGACCCTCGGTGCCGGGACCAGGTCTGCGGGAGCGAACTCACCTTTCTTCTCATTCTTCTCTGCTTCTTCGAACAAGCCCGGCAGGTGGACAACCACGCCGTTGCCTGCAACACACGGACAGGAGCTGAGCCGGACGCCAGGCTCGGGGTTCCAGCGGCTGACAGCAGCACTGCCGCCTGGCCAGACGGCTCCGGGATTGTCAGTCGGACTATGAACCAGGAGGCTGATTCCCGGTCAGGGTACAAGCACAGGCCCAGGTTGTGGGTTCGATCCCCAGCAGGGGGCCTGTAGGAGGCATCCAATCATGAATCTCTCATCATTGATGTTTCTCTTTCTCTCTCCCCAATTCTCTGAAATCAACCCTATACACTGAGTGGCCAGATTATGATGATCTCTGAACGCATAATAGTCTGGCCACTCAGTATATATATATATATATATATATATATATATATATATATATATATATATATATATATATATATATACACACACACACACACACACACACACACACACACACTAGAGGCCTGGTGCATGAATTCGTGTATGGGTGGGGTCCGGCCAGTCGGGCCAGGGAGAGGGGACATGGGCGGTCGGCCGGCCTGCCTGCTGGTTAAACTCCTGGTCGAGGGGACAATTTGCATATTAACCTTTCATTATATAGGATATACAGATTATTATGCGTTCAGAGATCATCATAATCTGACCACTCAGTGTATAATTAAAGGCTAGTATGTAAATCGACCGAAAGCTGGAATGACTATGACACACACTGACCATCAGGGGGCAGACACTCAGTGCAGGAGCTGCCCCCTGGTGGTCAGTGCGCTCCCCCAGCGGGAGCGCTCAGCCAGAAGCAGGTCTCAGGGCTGGGAGCACAGCAGTGGTGGGGGAGCCTCTGCCGCCTCTGCAGCAGTGTCAAGGATGTCTGACTGACGGCCTAAGCCCATGGTCAGCAAACTGCGGCTCGAGAGCCACACGCGGCTCTTTGGCCCCTTGAGTGTGGCTCTTCCACCAATCACCACGGTCTGAGCGAGTCTATTTGGAAGAAGCAGCGTTAGGAGAAGTTTAAGTTTTAAAAATTTGGCTCTCCAAAGAAATTTCACTCGTTGTACCATTGATATTTGGCTCTGCTGACTAGTGAGTTTGCTGACCATGTCCTAAGCCGTCAGTCAGACATCCCCCGAGGGCCCTCAGACTGTGAGAGGCCCGAAGCCAGGCTGAGGGACCCCCCTCCCAAGTGCGTGGATTTCGTGCACTGCGCCTCTAATACAAATATATTTTTTGAAAAAGAGAGAAAGAAATTGGCATGGCCACGTTCCAGGGGCAACAGTCACAGCCGCTGAGACATGGACACAGTGCAGTGTCCACGGGAGGCGTGGACACCCTGACGTGGCCCATCCATGCCGTGGAATGCCACTCAGACTGAAGAGGACAGATGCCTGACACCTGCCACAACGCAGATGGACCGCTCGGACGCCGCGTGGAGGGACACAGACAGCACAGACCCTGCGCTGGGGGACCCATCACACAGGCCCCTGGAGCAGTCAGACCCACGGGGACAGGCAGCGACGGTGGGCCCGGGGCTGGGGTAGGGTTAATGGGACAGAAGCTCCGTCGGGGGAGATGGGGAAGGCCTGGGACAATGGTGGGAGGCTGCACAGCACTGCGGACGGACTTCCCGCCTCTGGCCTGTGCATGCATGCCTG